AGTTCTGACTGGTGAACTGTCTGAGTGTCTCACACTGAGACACGCTAGAAGAACCTTTTTAAATTCCTCTAGCTTGTGATAACAAATCTCTACAGTTGACAACAACTGCTAATCCATCTCAATATGACGCTACATGAGCCTGATGCTAGAACATTAACCAAATTGCACTGCAAACTGCCTCTCATTTACACGTCTCGCTCGAGAGGATTTCACACCGGCGGCTCTGAATTTTCACTGAATTTTTAGAAGAACCGTGTGTTTTGCAGTCAAGCTCGCCAGGTTATTGAATGCCTTCATGTTCTAAAAGCAATCGAAACTGCTGCCACTAATATCAGGTTCCGCTTAAAACGAAAATCCGCTACAATATCTTTTTTATATGAAAGTATAAGAAATGGCAATCAGAGAAAAAATATCAGAAATTTTTGCATTCGATATTCGAGTTAATCATGTGTGCAATAGTCCAATAACCGACAACAAACTTAAACGAACTTTTACTGATTTAACTTTCAATCATTACCATTATATTACTATATTATGTTCCTTTTCCCTTACTCTCAGATGATGAGGGTATTTTTAGAACATTGAAATCAACGAATATACCGGCTAAATTAACCACAGCAGCCTCTTGCTTCAAGCTTACCAAACAGCACATTTAGAAACAATCTGGATATGCAATTTTGCCGGCGGTTCTAAATCGTCGTGCTAAGGAACAAACAGCTTTATGAATGTCTGGTATTTTCATAAGCAAGAAAGCAACGCTGAACAATGCAGAAAGTTTGAAGAGGCTATCATAATCACTTGGAAAGTATTGTTGAAATTTTTGAAATAATTCAAGAATACAAAGTAGAGAGGCTAGCTCTCTGCACGTGTCAGGTAAAAATAGACTTACCTCGAAGATTCACTATGAGTGGAATCGAAGAACTATCGATAAAAGAATATCTCGACCCACGGAGACCACCTGAAAAAGCTGTCTAAAATTTGCAAAGTAAACAGAATTAAACCTTAAAGTGTCGTCTCACTCCATTTAGGACCTTTAACCAAATCAACTGCGACATGCAAATTCACAACCAAACTGACGAGGAAACGTAACCGAGATTGTTCAAGTTATGCAAATTTCAGGCTTTAAATGATTGAAAAAAATGAAAAAAAAAAGAGAAGGAAATTGTAAATCTGTGAAACAAGGTTGTTACAGAAAAGCCATCACCCAAAACTTTCCCCATTAAATAAACTTTTTTCAGAGGCTTAGGTCTTCACCTGTCGGTGCTCATATAAAGTTGCAGTTGCAGTAATTCCTGAACAGACCCGCTCAATTACCAGTAACAGGTATTTAATCTAAATTTGAAGAAGCCTTTTACTGGTATTCTAATTGCCTAATACATCAGTCATACATACCATACTAACCTCTAACCCTAACCGATAATTTCAGCTGTGTCTTAATAAGCGGCTTAGTCTAGTTGTTTTTATGACCTTTTAACGCTAATACCGATAATGTCATGAGAGGAATTTTTCATCGTGGCTAAAGTGTATGGTGTATCAAGAACCTCAATCATGGTTAGTGAGTTTCGATCTAAAGCATTGTTGGCATTATTACTGGAGGAAACTACAGTTGACTCCCGATAATTCGAACCTTAAAGGGAAATAGAAAAAAGTTCGAGTTATCGGGAGTTCGAGTTATCGAGGGTAAAATTATACAGAAAACAATCTGAAGGTAAATGTAAATTGCTTCGAGTTGGCGAGAGGTTCGAGTTATGGAGGGTTCGAGTTACCGGGATTCGACTGTATTCCCTCAGAGGTCCGTTGTTGTAGCGATCAGCTGCCATGTTGTCTGACCGTAGCCATCCACACTTCAGAAATGTCGATAGATAGATAGATAGATAGATAGATAGATAGATAGATAGATAGATAGATAGATAGATAGATAGATAGATAGATAGATAAACTTTATTTAACCATGGGCAATTTACCGAGGGACCCTGCGCACCTTGCCTCGCAAGGAAGGCTATTCCAAATAATTTGTGCATGGTAATAAAACATTAAGTTTGTTTTCGGAGTCCCAAGGTTGTAGCTTGTATTGCGTTGAGAGAATTTCGTTGCTTAATAGTCCCAGTCAGATTTTGTAGTTGCAACCTGTTTAGCCCGAGTTCCAATTCATTGTCACTAATGGGGAAGCAGCGAGGGTATTTAGCCTTTGGCCAGATTCTTTCAGCATAAATTCGGTTTTAGTCACATTTAGAGTAAGTTTGCATGTCATCGGCATACATCCTCGGTTCACAGTTTGGCAAACACTTCGGAAGGTCTTTATGTATGTATAAGAACAATAGGAGTGGACCGGGGATGGTGCCCTGAGGGACACTCTGACCCATCAATTGAGCATTGTTGTGTGCAATTCTCCAAATATGATTGAAACCATTTTAATGAATTCTCAGATATACCATAATGGTAAAACTTAGGTAGAAAAATCTTGTGGTCCATGGCGTCGAAAGCTTTCTTTAGATCCACAAAAATAACTGCGTTAATTTTCCCAATGTCTATGTTATATTTTCAGTAGTCAGTTGCCTCAAGCAAAGCGGCAACAGTTGAAGGAATAGCTCGAAACCCCGACTGATATTTGCATAGCATATCGTGCGTCGCTAAATGAGCATATAACTGTTCGTAAACTATTCTCTCGAATACCTTGACCACAACCGGGATAACCGAGATCGGCCGGTAATTGCTTACGTCGTGGCGATCACCTTGCTTGAAAAGACGTGTTAACCTAGCAGATTTACAGTCTTCAGGGAATTTACCCTGGCTTATAGATTGATAAAAAATGTCACGTATAGGCACTCTAATGAGATCGGCGCACTCCCGAATAAGCCTAGACTTGTTTTGTTTGTTCATAAGCAAAAAGACTTTGTTTGCATTTGTTCGATGGAGATAAAACCGTTTATCAGTGCTAGTGAGATACCTTTGGTAGTCTTCGCTATCGAATTCAATCTCACTGGCAAGTTTTGGACCAATAGTGGAAAAATGATTATTAAACTCGTTTGATATCTCCCCTGGTTATCGTCAATGCATTTAATTTAAGTGACGTCACTGTGGTTTTCCCAGATTTCCAGGACGTTAACTCAATGGGCCAGTTATGTTAAACGTATGAGTTTCGCCAGTGTTAAACAAAACCGCGTTCTAAGCCATTTTCAATTTGCCCAACGGTTCTATCTAAACACCATTTATTGTGAACAGGTTTATAAAAGCATACAGAGTAGACAAGAAAAGTATTTATCTTCCTAAAATAACCCACTAAGGAAGAGTTTTTGAGGTCCAAAGATTTGTTAAACCGCGGCTTAAGTTAAACTTCGTTTAAATAATCGACCCTGTAGTCTGCCAAGTTTTGCTTGAGTCACCTGTGTGCTCTTTAACGCGTTTTTGATAGTAGAGCTTGTCTGATTAATCTTATTTCTTTGTTGGTTATATTCCGTTGTCTTTTTGGATGATCCAATCATTGCGAGCATTTGACTTAATGGCTTTTATTGCGTTCGAGGTAGCAGAGGAAAGCTTACTTGTGTTTCCGACTAGTTGTTCCCCCATCACCCAGTTTTTCATACAAACCGAGCCTGAAAAAAAAAATTCAAGTTAGCCGGCGAAGAAATCGACAAAGTGCTTGAAATTTGGATTCTTCTAATCCTCAAAGAATATGTCTGTACTTGCACTGAATGACAAAGGGAAAAAGAGTGATTTACGCGCAAAAAGTATAGTTTTATACTTAGGTTTTAGCGACAACGGCAAACCTTCCTGAATTTCGTCGTCGACGAAGGCTGGACGACGTTTTGACAACCTTACGCATGGCCAGAAGGTTTGCGCGAGAAAATTTCACTTCCGGTCGGCGTCGTCGTCTCATTTCGTCGTCGATGCTTAAGCCCCCTATTGTGGCGGAGCGGTTGGCCGAGAGGCACACTCCACACTCTTGAACTAGCTTCGGAGGTTTCCAGTCTTTTCACTTCCGCTACGGTTCGAATACCTGTTTACGCCGCATCGAAGTGTGGCACAGAGCTTATCCGATATGTGACGCTCCCGGCTTTCGAGTTCGGCGCGGCCAACCTTCCCTATCTTTTAGAAATCGTGGCGTAATCACCGTTCTTACATGTGAACAGAACTGTCCTATCCGGTATGGTTTTCGTGCCTCTACCCCACCTCCCTCGGGGGGATGTATGGCGTACTTCTCGCCTCACGTGCGTTGGCACGAATCGTCCTTTATACTGCACGCTGGTTCAATGCCGGTGGTTGGTTCGTCCTGCCTTGACAAACTTGTGATGAACAGGTGACAACAAGATGCAACTAAAACCTCTTACCTGGCTCGTCTTTGTGTTTCTAGTAAGTACGTAGTTTGGTTACATGTTCACCTATTTTTACGTTTCTGAGCTTTTTCTTGCATGTCAAATAATAATAATGGTAATTAATAGAAAATGTCATGTTATGCTTTACGTAGTAAGTCGACAGAAAGTAGAGCCCTTGTAATCCATATGACAAAGATCAGTATTCCAGGAATTGCCAAGATTGACAACTAATCGTCTGACCGTGTATTTTTCCTTGTTAATAATTTGGCTTCATATAGTGCAAATTTCCACAAGGTTTTTATAATTTAAAAACATGGGTTCAAGCCACCCACAGACCTCATTATGAAGTACAAGAAATTTGTGATTTCATAATGTAGTAGCTTTCCTCTTAAAAGAATAAATTTGCCTCCATTGCAAGTTATTCGGTTTAGTTATGCGTCCCCCAAGCTCCTAGCTCGCTACCTCTATTACAAGTTTCTATTCTCTCTCCCGTCTAATTTAATGTTATTCCCATAGTTCCTCGACCTGGTCATGTAGGAATAATTACCCTACTCTCTGTTATTTACCTTATCTTCTACGTCTCGCAACGTTCTAGATCTGGCTTCGATAAAATGTACTCACTTAGGCTGAAAGGCTGGCTAGCCGGTGGTTTTATATATTGACAGCGCTTAACTGTTCTTCGCGTCAATGTTTCTTAACTTACAGGCTGTGAACTCAAATGGAGAAGAAAGAGGTAAAGTAAAATTTTATGCGAAAAAAACAGATAATTGTTAAAAAAAACAGCTGTACATTGACTCTATCGACAGTAAAAAATATAGAAAACTTTCCTTTTTCCACATACGTGCACTTAAGCTTGTATATATCTACTATTAATAACGATCAAGGTCGGGATATAGAGAAAAATACCATGTAAATACGGAAGACTAACTTGAAGCGGGGACGGGAGAGACGCCTGTGAATATCACTAACAACCATGGTGGTACAAAGAGTCTCATTCGGCGCTATCGCCTGATGAATTCCTTCAGTATAACCTCTTTCTCCTACACTCACATTTTATCCTCCGTTTGTATTATTTTAATTATAGTGACTGTAAAATATTGGGCAAATAAAATACCCATCCATAGCTGTCCGATCAGTCTCGCCTTTAATTTAAAATAACTGAACTACCTAAATGTCATGAAAGATATTGTTCATCGTGCTTAATGTGTATACTAAAGGTTCGTTTATCTTTTGTCTCACGATTGTCACTCAGACTTTTTAAAGTCTGAGTGATTAAAATCACGAAGTTTCGACCGCGCAAAACTGCAGGACTTCATTAGGCGATACAGTCAAATAATATAAAATATAAATGCTTAAGTAGATTACTAGATAGATTAATCTTGTTTAAACCGGATTACAAAACACTTCGTATTGATTTTTATAGAATGTTTCGCGCCAGCCATTGGCATGGAGACGGGTGCAATTCTTGATTCCCAAATGACCGCGTCAAGTGAAAATGATTTCAACAAAGTACCTTTCGCTCGGTTAAACGCAAACAGGGTGTGGTGTCCCACAGGGGATATCGAGCTAACTGAATGGATTCAGGTAAAAAGAGTCATAAATATTTGATATACAGTAAATTAGCGTTTTGAAGCATTCGTTTTATAACATACCTGAGAGTGAGAAATTTAGTTCGCTCTTCTGATTAAGAATGAGGATGAACCCTGGGGATGAACCTAAGCCTCTCACAGAAATTCTCGGGATCTTTTTGGATGTTTTTGCTGCCACATATTTATCAACGAATCTTAATAAATAAAATATTAGATCTTATATGATAGCGTACCAGAACATTTCTGCTTTATCTTCTTTAATAACCCATTCAGATTGATCTTGGTCGACTATACCGAGTGTGTGCTGTAGCTACACAAGGAAATCCCGGTGGAAACAAAGATTATTTGAAAGAAATTGAACTTGGGTGGTCTAACGATAACATCACATGGGAAACAAGCGCAAAGGTATATACGTCTCTTTCTACCAGAAGTGCCTTTAAGTTCTATCATAAAAAGTCAGTACATACAACATTCGTGTTATTCAAACCAGCCGATGGCGATTCAAATGTCACGTCAAACGATCAGTTTGTATTTCTTGCTTGGCAATGAACGTTTGATGCTTGAAATTGTTTGAATTTTAGTTCGGTAAGTTGGTAAGCTGATGGCTTTGCCCTTTAAAATTCTCTGGGTTCTTATATTGTAACAATACCACTACTAGTCACCGTACTTCACATCATCTGAGAACGATAACTGAGAATCAAGTCAGCGTCTTTTATTTTCTCTTCCCTTCCCTATGCAATTCCAAATCATGGACGGACTTTGAACTCCAGCCGGCACAGCAATGCGGGGTTGGGGGAAAGGGGGGAGGGTACTCACTGAAATTTACTATGGGGGTGTGCCGCTGAGTTTTTGAGGCTCTGGGCCTGTTCCTGTTTGAGTTTGCAACTCTGCCCCTGACATCATTTGTTAAACGAGAAGAACTCACTCGGAGGAAGAAGAGTAGTCTTGCACTAAAGCTTCCTCAATAATGTCAGCGATTTTTGGGAAGAGATAAAAGAGATAAAAGGGTAATTTTTATACGCTGTTTCAGAGCCAGAGGAGCAAAAACCATACCCTGTTGAGCGGCACATACCCACGTAGCCCATAGCCTGCCTGGCGGGCGCAAAACTGAGGAGGGGCAGGGAGACAGGTAGAAAAGGGCAAAAGGCGCGGGAAAAGGGGACCATCTCTCCCCAGACTCATTCCCTTTTTCCCATCAGTACCAATCCCCCGCCCCTTTTCGAATCCTGCTACACAGGCTACATAACCCAACATATCTGGAGTACCCCCGCGCTCAGCAAATAGTCAAGTGCTGCAGGTAAATCTTTCGGGGGATGTGGAAGCTTCAGTTTGACCGGTACTGTGACATTATCACGACTGTTCACCCTTTTCGAAATTTCGCTCGGTTAGGAGACAAGTGAAATTATTAACTTTAGAGCACTGTGGAAGCATTAAAAGCTATGATTATGAAGAACTATAAACAAATACTAGTAACACACTGAACCTGATAATTGATTATTCTCAATCTAAAGGCTATTTCTACGGGAAATACCAATTGTTGTGACGTCAAAAAGAACAATGTTCCAGTGATTTATGCCAGGTATATCCGCCTTGTCCCATTAAAATGGCACATTTGGCCCTGCACAAGAATGGAGATTTATGGTGAACCTTGGCCAGAAGGTAAAACATCAACTTTTTTCTTTTGAAGTTAGGCGTGGCAGTGGGTCGAAGTCTAAGCCTGCAGTTCAGGCGCTTTCTTTGGGAGCACGAATTGTTTTGCTTGTTGAAACTCCAAAAGAGAGGAGGAAATGGGGCGAGGGAGGTATTTTTCTCCCCTCCTCCTCCCCCTTTCCTTCTTTCAACCTAGCACTTACCCTAAGGGTCGCTATTTCTACCCTCCCCATTGTTGTTCTGTCATAAAAACAAAGGTGGCGGCTACAACAATACTAACTTAAACTAACTTAAACAAGCAGCTTTTCGCCCGCTGAAAATATGCCTGCACTGCAGGCTAGTTGATGTCGTGTAAGTGGAAATCATGTTTTGGTTCTGTCAGTTGGTGACAGTGTCGCTTTCTCTATTCACCATTTCTATGCTTCACGCGGACGAGTGGATCAAAATTCGTCCAGCTCCAAAAAAGTCTCCTTGTACACTTTCACACGACCCAGTTTCGGTCTTAACTTTAAGTTCTCATCAAGATCTCTTAATAGACATTATCTGGTCTAAATTCATCTCTCTCTATTGCACGCGCTCACCTAGTGTTGACTTAAAAGAACAAATTAAAGAAGTTAAACGGCAAGCAAAAAAAGAAATCCGAACGATTGCTTCCTAATATGCGGGTCATCTCTGCCAAAGGACTTCGAAACCTTTTTATCTTATTCCAAAAGTTTGAACTTTGAGTAACTTAGAAAGTACAATGAATACGGCATTTCCGTATGGCATAACTGCCATTTTTTTGCAAATATGCATCCGCTACAAAATTGTAAATTACTATTAGGCAGACGTTACGAGAAACTTTATCCGAGTAAACACTTTTCTAAGGCAATTCAATGAGCCCTTTTTCCCCGTAGGTCCGAACAAGTTGTTTTCTCTGATAGGCCTTGGTAAGGCGTTGGTTGGTCACGTGGTATCAGCAGAGAATGCAACTGATGTCACTAGATGCATGAAGTTTTGTCTGCTGACGGAACACTGCAAGTCACTCAATTTCAGCCCCCAAATGATCATGAACACGTGTGAACTGAGCAATTCAACAGCTATAGCACAGGAACTCCAGAGTCATCAAAATCTTAACTATTATGAACCCGCCTCCTTTCAAGTGATATCCACGGCGAAGTAAAATTTATTGCTTTCTTGCAAATCAACGCCTATTTAAGCAATGCATCATTAAACTGACAGACTGAGATTAAAGAAAAGAATACAAATCGTAAAACAAGATTTTTAACACTTTCAGCAAGGCGTTTTTGTCTTACCGACCTTTCGTGAATGATATCGTTATCAAGAGACTTTAGTTCATTTTGATTTATTGGCCTTAACGGCTTTGTCTCAGCCACCTATCGGGACTCGAGCACTCAATGTAGGAGAAAGGAAAAGAGCCCTTTCAGAACTTTTGTGAACAAGATACGTAACCGCCTTCGAGGTGAACTGTGGGCATATGTTAACATATTTTATGCTGACAATCAGCGCTTCAGGTAATCATATTGAAGTCTATTGAGTAAGAGCGAAGTTAAATATACTGACTATGAAGTGAACTTGGGTAAGGGTCCAGGGACACGGCAACGTGTTTTTGTTTTGCTTAGTTGTGCCAATTACCCCTTATGAAACTTCTTGTAAATTCATACAAACTCACAGCCTCCTAATAAAAAAATGACGTCCAAAGTTTAAATCAATTCAAAGCTAAGAACAACAGGGATATAGAGGGGCTCACTCGTGAAATATTTTTCAACACTCGAAGAGAAATTTCGCATCTTTAAGCGGCCATGTAATGTTCTATTCAATAATTATATAAACACCTAAGAAATGCCAAACCATTTCATATAAATATTGTTTTGCTGCGAAAGGCGCGATTTAATATATAGCCATAGCGACGGTGATCTTTTCACATGTGAAAATAATGTGTCAAGATAATATCACGTTTTCGCGCGAAAGCTCACCTGGTATTTCATTGGTGTTTATATAATAAATTAATATATATATTTCTTATCTCTAAGTGACTTTTAAATCAGCTGGGCTGTACCTGAGTCATTTTCACGGCTCCCCGTTGCAATCTGTTGTTACTCTCAATTTGGCCCATTCTCCTTTTTTCTTCAGTGGTTAAATTTTCTATGTTTCACTCAGTTTTTAGTGGCCATTTCTCAGTGGCTGAATTTGTTAAATCGCGTGACAAAGCTCCATAGTGGTGCACTTACAGATCGGAATAAGATATCGGTTAACAATAACAGACAATGCAGCCCACCCAACTTCCCACAGCATAAGAAATGACTTTTACTAATTTTCAATTTTAACAGTGGTTTTTCCTGAGTAGTTTGAGGAAAGCAGCAGCAGTAGCTGGCAAAGGTAGCATTCCAGTCTTTTCATACATTTTTTCCCAACATATGAAAACAGGCCGAAGGATTTTTACTAAGGAGGATACTTCTAATTATAATCATCATCATTATTATTGTTATTAAAAGCTTTTTTGTGCGTGGGGTGTTCGTTTATGCAAAAGAGAGGAGGAGGCCATCCTAGGCACTTTAGAAAAATTCTAGCACACATCGCAGTATTATCATTCTCCATGTTATCTTTTCTTGTTTCTTTTCAAAGATTAGCCTGTATGAGGATGATTGAAAATTAAAACAGTAGATAAGAATCATCATTATTTAACCGAATGAAGCCTGAGGGTTTAATCAAATATGCTTTTGAAAACCATTTTTTTTGTTGAGGAATGGACTCTACACTTCCCATTAAATCATTGACCGCAGATCATCCTTTATTGCTGTGCCTTTTTTAAAAGCAATTCTTTACCCCATCTTGAGAAAGATTTCTGACCCGTTACACGGGGTCTGTCAGCATAACAAACAAGACAATTGGCCTGTTTTCGCCGGTATTCACATTTAGCCTGTTCTGATAAAGATATATGAAATCCCAATAAACGTGCCAAATGAATGAGTGTAAACGGGTTTGTGGTTTTTATCCGAAAATTTGGGCACCTTTTGTATAACTTATGTTAAGAAAAGCCTTTTCTTATCCTACCAACAAAAAACGAAGTTATTATGTAATATGATTGTTTATGAAAACACTTGTTTTTGCCTTTACTTTAACCTCTTAAGTAGTTTAAGGCCTGGGTCTAATAGGTTTTCTCATTCATAATAAATATTTTTAACACTTCACATTTGGAATGACCGTCCATTGCACTTCAATCAAACATTATGAGGGAAAACATCATTTTAAATGCCCTAATTTAATCTTGAATTAATTAAAACTTTAATTTTAAAAAGTACTTTCATTCCAAACGTAGAAAATTAGGTATATTTGTTTTATCCTAACAAACAAAGTAAATTCGCCGTCAATTCGTCAATTTCCTTCATTTTCAATTTTTGGTCACGTGACGTGTCATGTGACCATAATTAAACGTTAAGGCGCTAGAAGATCTGGGTCTCCTAGCGAGAGATATTGTCAATCAATCATTATGCCCCGAGCACCCCTTTGACACAGGCCTTAAACTCCTTGAGCTTTTAACAGTACTAACAAGGACGCCGCTGGTGTAATAATTACCGGGTACCAATCATAACGAATGGGCCAAAATCAATTTATTCCGGTCAGATACTCAAGTCTCTCAGATGCCGGGTTTGATAAGTATACTTCCTTGGATTCTGCGGTATCTCTTTCCTCCCGGAAGGGTTACCCGATATGGAATCAGGCCAATCAGCACAGATTGATAAACTATCAGCTATGATCGGTTCTCAAAACTATTTAAAGGCAACAATTAAAAATCTTTTTCAACACGGTGAATTAAAGCACTACAGCTGGGAAGCAAGGCGAATTTGGTAAGTGGAAAGTGATGTTCCGTTTACTGCAATTAAAATTAACACAAAAAGGTCAAGAAACGGTTACAAATTAGTAGAGTAGAGCTGCAAAGTTACTTTATATTTTTCTATTCTTGTTAGTGTCCGTTTTAAGGCTCTTGATAATACTAAAGAGAATTAGTTTTTTTTAGTTTGGTCGTAGTTTACTCCCGCAAAGAAAGTTGAGTTTCTACATCTAAATAAATAAGACTTGATAATACTGTTTTCACGGTTGAAAATCTGAAGTTTCACCATGGGACGAATGCTGGGGATATTTCTTGTTGTAAGTCTTGTTATCTGCTCCTTGCATGAAAGGTATGTTTTTTTGTTTTTTTTTTAAAGACTATACCCCTGGGGATTGGAGACAAATAATGTGGGAAGGGACATTTTACTGAGAGGGTCCTCTTTAAAGATAAAAGAGTAAGAAGTAGCCAGCGAGCAGGCCCTCCATTTGGGGAAGTCGCGAGTCAGCTCCTCCGCAAAAACTTTCCTCGCGCGGACGATCCTGCCGGCTGCGCTCTCGCGTTCTCTCACGGCTCGCTTCTTGGAGAGCTTGCTGGCAGGTTAAGTAAGAAGATAAGCAATGGCAGTCGGATTCAGATCTTTATATGAAAAGAGGTGGGGTCCCGATCTCGAAATTGGTTTTTGTTGTTCCTGCGCGCTTCAGTTAAGCCTTAAAATAAGGTAGAGGCACGGGTCCCATGGAAGCCTTCCCCCCCCCCGTTAGATCCGCCACTGTCTCCTCCATTGGCTTTCATCTCTCCTACTTACCCGTTCATACAATACATATGACAGTTTAACTTATCAGAGATTTCCAGTGATTCCAGTAGATTTCCCTCCTCTCAACCACACCCTTGCGTCCTTTCCTTCAGATAAAGGCTAGATTATCTATATTTGGCCAGTGTGACAAGTATGTGATGAGAGGGGAAATTCGAAAGGGCGCTGCACTGAATCAATCATAATTCCAGCTTCATAGAGGACAAGTGGATTGTAGTAATTGTGTTAATAGGGGTATCATTTTGCGATATCAATACAGTCCTCGTACGTATCGCTTCGCAGTGTTAATAAGGCAACAAACTCCCGTTATACCCTTGAGAATAGTAACATTCTTTATTTTTGTGCAAAAACGGACCAAAAAATTCCCGTTTAACGTACCTTTCCTATCGTTATAGCCGTGTGTCAATATAGTTCTTATTTTCTATATTGAACGAATTAGATTAATAATGTCAAGTATGCCGTTTACAGTGAATGTTAGCGACGTCGTCGTACGGGTTTCGGATTGCACAAGAAAAACATCAGTCCTGGCCAAGATGATGTCCTGATGGGAAAGGACACGGGTATGAAAATGAAGATGTTAGAAGATCAGGCAGAATATTATGATTATCTCGACGATGAAGTTTGAGTTCACCTCTACAGATTTAACATGGTTTTATTCTGACACCAGTTTCTTCAGAGAGACGAACACATAACATTGGAGCTCATATTAAACTAGTGGTGGTGGTTTTAATCCATAAGTAAAGTAGAAATAAAGGATGCAACTCGCGGTTGCTGTGGTTAATTCACTTGTCCATGTTCTCTGTGTAATTGTGTGATAGAAACATACATACACTGATTGTAAAGCGCAACAGAAGACTTTTTAGGCGTGCTTAGAGTCAAGTCAACCTTCATCATATCTTGAAAGAAATAATAGCTGGTCTAAATAATCATTTCTTCGCCATTTGCAAACCCAAAACCTATGGACAAGACAACACCTAAGAAAATCGGTTTTAAACCAACGACGTGGTTTCTTCGATTCGGAGCTTATACTCTAACTATGAACGAAAGCGAGTAATAAAATGCTGATAACGAAACACAGATGAACGTTAAACCAAGTGAAACGTACATGTAGATCACAGTCTTGTGTCCACTCATTATGTCTAAGTGCGCCAGGATAAAAGAATGTCATCCAACCTTAGATCGGCAACACAAATTTAGACCGAAAACTAGTGATTGATCGGGGCCGGCAGGGGCTCGGGCATGTAAACCTAATTTGTTCAACATCCTAAACCCTGGGCAATCAGCCTGCCTCCGAAGCATGGATAAAAAGGCAGACAAGGCATTGGAGGTTGCTGCCAAGGGAATTGACAGAAGTAATGTTTGTTCTTATCGAATCAATGAACAGAAAAATTTAACGTTATGCAGCTGCATCTCACAGACGAAATTCCAATGACTCAAGAGATGCCACGTAACGTCCACTGCATTATTTTCGATCGAAAAAGTATCAAACTTGAATAATAAATAAAACACAAAAGACAATCAAGATCAGAATTTAAATCATTTTTACTTTTAAAAGCTACACATGATAGGTCTTTTTCGCTTCTTAGGTCTAATCCGTTTTTGGATAGCCTAAATGGACAATTTACAAGCAATCTAACATGTGTTTCACTCCCTTGAAGACAAACCACAATAGTTTCTTTGGAAACTTTACTCGTTATCCATAACTGATTTAAAAATACACAAAAGATTGTCAGTAATTTATGTAAATATCATCATAAAAATAAATTTTAGTACAATGTGTGAGCTATGACCTCACCTCAGCGTTCCGCGTGGGCAGAAGATCTTTTAAATTATTTCTCACTGACAATTATGCCAAATTTCTATCAGCTGCCTGCCTGGGCTCCTTCTGCGTGACGGCTGCGCGCGAGGAAGACTATGCGTCTCTCCTTAATCTTCTGCGATTATTTGTCTGAGTAAGGCTTTGTTACGAGAAAACACTCTAACAAAGTCCACCTTCTTCAAGATCATCTTCGAGCTCCTCCTGGCTCCCCCCTTGTTCTGTCTGATAGGCGGGTGTAGTAGACACTGGGTTGGGAATTTGTGCCTCGGTTTTCAGAGAGGCATTCGGGTTTGGAGTCGATTTTCTCTCTGTCTTTCCTTTGTTACCTGTGTCACCTGGAACACGCAAGCTGCGGGACAACTTGGCAATCTGAAAAGTCATTTTAAAAACTGTAAAACAGATGAATATTTCCGTTCTGCCTTGCTTGTTTTAAAAGGATTTTGCAGGTGATGATTATAGAAGCAATTTTAAAAAAACTTGTCAGGGAAATAAAGAAAACGACAAATAATTCTAGAAACATAACTTGGACGAGATTTAACTTGAAGTTTTTTCGGTATTGTGAAAAAAATATACACGCCAGAAATCTTCATTGTACTTTTTTATTCACCATAAAAGTAAGCAGGGTTATTTTTTTTCGAAGGAGATTAGGCCCTCCCGATCGCAAAATGATTCCATCACTACGCATCCTCGGTTCGTCGCGCCTTTCCTCCCGACCCACAACTGACTGCCCCTGGGTCTCCGAGAATGACAATGTCTACCACGTTTTCCCGCCAAAATGACGCTGGTTCACGTGCACACACTATTTGGTATTGAAAAAATCTCGTTCTAGTAGTCGTCCCCGATGACCCAGACTTAGAATCGAAACGTCACAATACTACTGACTGTTATTTTGTCGTTTCTGGTTTTATTGACTTAACAGTTACGTAACGTCATGTAATTTTAGTTTATGTCGTAGTAGAAGCATCTAAATATTAACCTCATTGTCCAAGTAGGTGAAGAGAGCTTGTGATGTGCAAGCTTTCATTCCCTCACCATCGCCCCCGTCAAAACAATCCAAAATCTTTTCTGCGGCGACTGCTTCATCTGAGCCACCGAATCCAGGAATCCTGAAGAGAAAAATAAGTACACTTGCTATGATGGGATGTATGGCTGCTATTTAACAAAGAGATTCTACTCTCGCCTGCGGCTGTGAAGAAAAGAAAAATAGAAATCACATTCCTTTAACAATTCTCCAAGGATTAACACGGTCGGTTAGTGCGCGGCCTTCTGTGCAGGGGGTTCCGGGCCGAGTTCCATTCCCAGGTGAGACTTCAAAATCCTTGTTTCGAATTCTCTCCTTTAGTGCGGCTTTAAGTAGCTTTAAATACCGGGAAACGGAACACTGATGGAGAGAAGGGGGAGGGAGGGGTAAAATAAGCGCACCGTCAGCCACAGGTTTGTTAATGTAAGTACTAGGGAGCAAAAGCAACGGCAACGGCAACGGCGACGGCAGCAAGAACGGCAAAAAAGCAATGGGTTCCTCATTTCACGTTTTCTCGAGGACGTGAACGCAAGACAACTTTCTTTTCCCTTTCCTGAACTTTGATACAGTCCTTTAGAATTCGACGAATTTGTCGAATTAAACGAGATGGAATAAGCGCGATAAAGTTTGAGGCATCGCGAATTCACTTTTTAAGTAACGTTTTAGTAGCCGTCGCCTTCGTTGTTGCTTAAGCTCCCTAACACTATTTCAGTTACCGACGTAAAATAACGACCTTTACCTTTAACAATCCACACAGTACATTCTTAAATTTTTAAGTCAAAACATGAAGTGCAACTTTATATACAATAACATACTCAAAAGAATTCTTGTAGCAGTTGTCTGCAGCTACGTAATCGCTTTCGTGAAGGTGAACAACGACCATACTAAGAACAACCTGTAAACATTTGAAAAAAAAAAAAAACAAGCAAATACTTTTTACAACCAGTTTTAATAGTGTCGTAGGTAGGCGCAGACCTTCTTAATAGAGCTTCATCAAGTGTTTTTCCTATTTATAAGTGAAACTAAAAATTGAACTGATATTGCGTTTTAACCTTTCACAGTTGAATTCGAACTTCGCACTATAAACCCTGTGTTATCGTAACCTAGCTTTGAACAACCCGCCCCTGGACATTATCTGCCACGCGACACTTTTTTCTTTTTCAGATTAACTCCTTCATCTATCAATTTTGTCCAAGCCTTTACTGCTCTCCCACAACATCTAACAATCTTAACGCCTTAACAATTAATTTTTATCTTTTATTTTTTTGGCGTAACACTCAACGTAAGAAGTTACACATCGAACAATGCTAATTATACTATGTTCTGAGTCAGTTGTTCAGTCTAATAAGCAAGGGTGCATTACCTTGTACATCATTTGAAAATTTTCCACCTGTTCGTACAGTTTCATCTGCTGTTTGAAAACATTCAAAGCCTCCTGAAATCTGCAGAATAATAACAAATATTCCAAAAAATTTTTAAAAAGTACACGTCCGTATGTTCACGACTCATTTCAGCGCTAGTGTTAAAGAACGATGACATTCACATAGAAGGATAATAACTCCACAACAAAACTATTGTGCACGTTATACATTTAACTCTTAAAAATAAATTCTGAATGAAATAATTTTAACATGGTTAAACTAGCAACCAGCGTTCTTTGGGTCATGGTAACTGTCATAGGACTGCGAAAGATATACCATGGAGACATTCCTGAATTTCTAATAGTTCCCCCATCTCCCTTCAACAAAAAAGAATGAATTCAACCAGCGCTCTTTGATTCATGGCAGCTGTCATGGCTCTCGTAAAGATACGCCATGGAGACATTCGTGATTTTCTAATTGTTCCCCCATCCCCCTTCAACAACTGAAAAGAATGAATTCTTTGCCTGCATCGCAGACGCTCTACTATACAAATGGTTTACACGAGTACGTGGGCAGGCTGCAACGCAGGCTATGAATTCTATGTACCTTTTTAACTTTACAAAGAGGTTTGCAGCTTTTGACAAAGGTTCAATACCCTCTCGAATCTTGTCCTCTGCCTTCAAAATGCGATGGGAAAAGAATTGTCATAATCAATTAGTCTTGTCATCTACTATTCTATAACATATATATTGACTGATAACAGAGAAGAAGGATGGGGAAGAGGTGAGAGCACTTGACTCCACCAGTGTGGCCCAGGTTCAAATCCCAGCGTGGATGCCATATGTGGGTTGAGTTTGTTGTTGGTTCTCTCCCTTACTCCAAGAGGTTTGTCGCTAGGTACTCTGGTTTCCCCTCTCCTTAAAAACAAACATTTCCAAATTCAAATTTTGTGGGTCACATTTGAATAAATGGCCCCCCTTCCCCATGCACAACAACAACAAAGAAACGGATCCTTGATTTTCCTGTTGATATATGGCCACGTGTGAATTGTATGGGCCATAAACCAATGGGAAAGACTCAATCCACAATCTTTGGAACAGACTTCTAACTCAGTTTGTGCAAGGTATTAATATTATTTTACTGCGTGTTTGGAAATCAGATGAAAAACTGCTCACTTTTGCATCTTCTTAAATCATTTTTTTGAGAAGTAATATCAAGCATTCAACATTTCATCACCAGATGAAATACATTGAAGTTCATCAAAAATACTATGCTGTGCATCGTATTTTCAACTCTTAATGTTTCATCTGGTGAAGGAACACTGTGTACCTACTAGTCTTGATATATCACTTCTAACCTTGACTACCTGTGCATTACATTTGTACATCAGTACTGGGGCTTCATCTCAAATAATCTATTTTCAATGGAGAAACTTTTGAATACAAAATACGTACAACATTCATTTCACTGGCTAAAATGTATAACTCTGCAGCTTTAGCTGGATCACTTGAATCACACATCCTACAAGCATTGACAAAAAGAACAAAATTAATAAAAAAAGTTTAACTTAAACTTTTCTCCAAAGGCAACGTTCTCTTTTTAGAAAGAAATGGTCAGGATCATTAATTTGAAATGAATGTTGCATTTTTTAGATTTTTTCAAAATATATGCTAAGAACACAAATAACTATTTAATGAAAAAGATAATTAATACTTAGAACCTTTTACATAAATATAAAAATAGATACCGTAAACTACTGCTTATAAGCCTCTCCGCTTATAAGCCCTACCTGTTGTAGACCAATAAAAAATACATCTGCTTACAATGTATAAGCCTCCCTCCGGCTTGTATTGAAATGAATTCGATTTATGATGACATTTTGAAGATAAGTTTGAAACCAGTACAGTCAAACCTGGGGGGCCTAAGAAAGTGTCTGTATCAACAGAGTGTCAATATTAAGCAGGTTGAATAATTTTAGAGAAAATGTGTCCCCCTGGATGTACATGTAAGCCAGCGCCGTAGCTAGTATGAGGCCAACCGAGGCACTCGCCTCAGTAAAATTTTGACGAATTTCGCCGATCATTTTTATTTTACATAAGCGATCATCGGATATTTTTAACGCATCATGATATTACAAAGAATTCAGCAATTCAGTCAATATACTATGAAAAAATTACCATATCATCGATCTCAAGGGGCTACGTACGTTAACTCAAATTTTTTTTGAACAAATACTGATGAAAACCATTGGCGAGGTTAACGGTCACCCAGATTATGTAGCTTGTTTCTGATTATTGCTTTTTAAATTCCACTTAAATTAACTCGAAAAAAAGTTACCGAAAGGCCCAGAAAACGCTGCAAATCGCATTTCCGAGAGACTAAAGTTCAAAATTTCTCGGGGGGGGTCATGCCCCCGAACCCCCCTAGCAACTCCCGCCCGCCTCGGTTGGCCGTTTGGTCTGGCTACGGCACTGTAGCCCTCAAAAAACCACTTACTAAAACGTATAAATCCAGGTCTTAGAAATGGCAGTTTATGGTAATAGAGCTGGACTTACTTGGCACCTCTTACAAGGGCTAGGGCACCTGTATCTGGAGAACCACTCTGTCTGTACATGTCACTACATTAAACACAACAATAATATAAAAACCATATCAAAACTAGCCTGGAGATATTTTGAAACAAATTGTATATTTTACCATTTTTGCTTTCCTGTATATGGATGCACTTGGCAAGAAACGCAAGAGTAGGGTCCATTTTGAAAATTTTGTTTTCTGAACAGGAATTGACAATAATTAATTTTATATTTTCATGAACATAATTTAATTAACTTTGCCATTAATGCTGCTCAAAATGTTTAGTGTATGTCTTAGACTGTAATAAATAATCATTGGTAAGATTAATTAAGGCTTAATTGCATGCTAGTACATAATGCCTTGGTAATAAAAATGATTAAAAAAAATAAGAAGAATTAAAGAGGAAAGTATTATCACAGTGATTCTTTTATATCTGCCATAGACCACCAATTAACTAGATTTTATTGAACAGTGACATTTAAGGTGATCACAGTTGATGAAGCTGATAATCTTTTAGCAATACCATTTTTAGTAGTTGCCAACCAAATACTGAATTTTCAGTAGTTCCATTATTTAAAATAAAACCCTTTTTGAACATGAGCAGGAATGCTTTCAATCACAATATTTTTTCTGTTACCATTCAGCAACTGCAGTGTACATGATCTTTTTCTTAAAAACTTCATTAACCGGGCGGTGTAAAATGCAGACTACGGACTATTGTTTTTACTATGCAAATGAGTATGTGACCACAATAGTCCTATTGTTTTCTAACCCTAAAAACAATAGTCCACAGTGACAGATCGCAGTCTGCATTTTACAGTGCCCCCTTAATAATTAACTATGGTCTTACACTGCTCTTTCCACTAGTGATACAGCTTCTGAAATATTCTTCATTTCTTTTTGAACTGAGGCAGCCTGTTCTAATGCTCTGTTGAGAATTGTGTTGATACAAACAACAGATTATGCTGTGGTATTTCTTTTATTACAAACCCTTTACACTCTCATACCATAAATTACATAATTAATAAAATGATATTGCCGGTAATGAATGTGCTGTGTATAGAGAAGGCCAAAAAAGACAAATTATGAAGTAAGAGGTAACAAAATGATGGGCATACATTAAAAAAGGTTAATAAACTTAATCACTTAAAATATAATTTGCTGCAAAGACAAGTGTGATATCCTGGAACCACATAATAAATTGACACTCTGAACAGACCATCTCCTGTAAAAAATATGCGGGTACTGAGACACTGTTTTCATTGACATGTAAAAATCAACTGTAAGTCACATCTCAGTGCCCCCTCCAGAAAAGCATCTGTTGCTTTAAAGCAATTTTTACAGGCCAGGCCTAAAAATTAGAGAGATCCCCTGTGCCTCCACATTTGAATTTTTACTTTAATATCCCATATCTCCTAACACTTTATTCGCTACATGTATGGATTGATACAGTAACCAATTTAGATTAAGGTTTAATTATAGCTAATATTCAGTTCAAAGATCCTTTGGAGAGAAAAGAGAAGTCTGCACATGCTTAAACCCTTAACTATCTAAATATACTTACTTAGCTGCATGGAACAGTCTAATATCAAGCTGTGTCAAGGAAAAAATACATGTCCATCTGCTGACTAAAAAACTAGCTGCTGCTCTTCAGCGTAAACTACACTGTAAAACAAATATTCAGCTATTTTTGGGAGTATCAATTAGGATACGCATGAGAACTGTAGTGTGCATCTGCTGCCTTTTTGAAAGCATTGCTGGCCTTGTCATAACATTTGGCAGCTTTAAAACATGTACCTGCAGAAACAACACAATTAATAATATTAATAAAAATCTTCACTATTAGTATTAAAGACAGCGTTAAATGGCATATAGTATGCATCTAAAACTTTGTTTAGGTAAAAAATTTATAAGCACTTGATTTAGAAGAGTTTAAAAAAGAAAAAATGCTGTACATATCTGTATTTTGTTCTTTACTTTTTTTAAATTGATATGGAGTACAGTACAGATTTATTTTAATAAATAAATTTTAATTATAAAAGAATTAAGAAATAAATGGGGATAAGGTAAGATGATAGTGAAACTAATAAATTATAAAAAATGCCCTTTGAATTAAATAACATTTTATTCAGGATATATTTTTCAACTAAAAAGAAAGAAATGAGAAAATGGGAAATATAAAAGTATACAAGAGTCTGTGTGTGCAGGCAACTCATAATGTCAAGTTGGCTTTTAAATTAGAAATATAGGGAAATCGTTTGTGTGACAATCAAGTTAAATATTATAAATATTGTTGGAAAAAAGATTCTTACATTTGTTCTAAAATAACAACAATTTAAAAAGATGCTGCAAAGACGTAGTCCTGTACCAGTAATCTTGTTGCTCAGATTACAGGTATAGAGGAAGACAGCTTTTTAAGATGTAATGCAATACATACCAGCTTTCATGAATTTATCAGCAGCACTATCCCAGTCTGGCTTCCATTTCAACCAACTAGTCTTCATACTTAAGAGGCAAATATGTTGAAACTAATGATTAAGTATGATTTGTGACTATTTACTGTTCAAAAGTGAGCCTGCCCTCACCCCAAGGCCCATTCAGCTCTGAACAGACCTATGGTAAGTGAGCCACTGCTAATAAAACCTGGCAAACATACAGTATTTCTGATGAAAACTGAATTGATTGCCACTGTTAGGGCCATTCCATTAACATACACCTAGCTCACATCCCTAACCGCTAATGATTGAAGTAATGAGAAAAATTCCTAACCCGTGGAAAAATGCTCATTTCCCCCCAAAGAACTCAGTAAAATACATTGAAAAAAATATTTATCCCCTCAGAAAATGTTCCGCATGTGTCTAATAGCTTAGATAATTTTTTTCTTTTTTTGCCACTTCCCCCAGTAAGAAAATCTGCTCATCTGCATTACGGCAAATACAAAATAAGATCGTCCTATGGAGGTTTTGTAAGCCTGCGAGACTGAGCAACCCCCACAAACCCTTGATTTTACTAAAAACCGCTGGACGCAAAACCTCCCCTGGGTCGATGTTACAATGTCACAACGTGATGGTCCTAAAACCCTCAGAAATCCCTTTTTTGTATTACGTTATTACAAGAAATTTTCACGACACATTAACTTCACGAATTTTGCGATACAAAAACAACACGTGAAATTAAAGTGACGCGAACAATAAGTGTTGTGAAATTAAGTGAATTATGTGACACTCATGTTATAAAGTCAATATAAAAAAAAGAATGAGTTTATTACCAGTGAAATGTTTCCAAATCACATTTTTACTGTTCATTTTTTCTCCGTTCAGTCTTTACAAACGAATTTTTGGTGTAAATGGATGTTGTGGCCAATGGACTTAAAATGGTGCGAACTGCTTTGTTGTTTACAATTGACATAGAGTTCTGCCCTTGTATTTTTCTTAATTTAGACGTTATTGTTTCTTTGATAAAGTCGTTTTATTTAATTAAAGGACATCTTAGACAACATCGCCAGTGAAAAGTAAATTGTGGTCCAAAAAAATGCAAAATTAAAGTGATTCAAAAGATAACATTTCCCAAATCGCGAAATATGTGCCTATTGAAACAAGGAGAAAAAGAAGGAAATTAGAAGAGGAGAAAAACGATATAACAGACCACTCACTCCCATTATCCCCCACTAGATTAGATAAGCTGTACAATTAGCCTTGGAAAAGAGCTAGTGTTAAGGAGACTGTAGTGGTTTATACATAAGCCGTGTGCATGTCATAAGAAATTCAATAGTTTTTATTATTTCAAATATGCAGCTTTCCTAGCTATAGCTCTATAGTAACAGCAAGCTTATAACAACCTTACAGTTACTTCTAACTAAGAAAATGCTTTACGGTTTGATTTATCACTTTCAAAACCTGCAAAAGTAAATAAGGCTAGCACCCGGGAAGGGGAGGGAGGTGGGTGTGCTGGAAAAGAGTGAAGGACAATGACCATCGAGGAAAAAATACCTTTAGAAAATATATGACGACGAGAAAAACAAATTGTCGTCTTTAATTCATTCTTTAACTGAAGCTAAGCTTATACATCGACACTGGTTTCTCGCCCTTACAAATCGAAGATGTGTACTTTGATCTTTGTATACTCGATGTCTGAAACTGTGAAATCAATAAAAGACTTACAATTTTTCCGCTTCTTTCAAGAGCTGTTGCCCTTCTTGTAATTTCCTTTCTTGCAGGGCAGCCATTTTGGTGTTGTTCTAGTTTGTAACACCGCTGTGCGCCAAAGATTTAGTCACAGGTCATCTGCTTGGCACCAGATTATGTACCATGTTTTTTACAAATATTTTTCATTCATTCATTGTGCTTCATTTTATTTTGTTATGCTGCGTAGAATGATAACAAAATATTTTAAGCTATAGCTTGTTTTCTCCTTGTTTTTATTTTTTGAGGATCCTGTGAGGCGGTCACGAGGAAGGTGCTCGAAGGGCGGGGTCTGGCCCGTGCGTGACATATTTACGCTGAGCTTGTTGAAAATATTTCCGTGACTTTTATTACCTCAATTTTAAAGTTGAAAAGGTAAAATATGTACAGTGTAGACCCTTCCAAATAATATTAGACAGTATATTCTGTTGTTTAACTCTGTAACTATGGTACCGATGTAATTTTGTGCGTGAGCCAATTGCCATTCTTTTCCTTTGTCTTAACATGACGCGTGAGCGCGACGCGAATACATATAATCCAGGTGCATTCTGCACTAGCTAAATCCTGCTGAATTTCTCACAAGAGTTCATCGTTTATTTTTGCAAGTTTTCAGCAGCAAATCAACCTATAAAATGTCTGACGGCGACCTTAAAACTGTATTTAATTCCTTCTGTGCTTTTGGTGCGGGAAGCAAGGACGCTCAGGCTACGATGGACAACGCGAAATTTGGCAAACTTTTTCGTGATCTAAAGCTGTACGACAAGAAATTCACAAGCACTGACACGGACATCATCTTTAACAGACCTGAAGTCAAGAGGTATTAAAGAGATTCTGGTCTTTCCCTTTATATTTTAGTGGATATTGTTTTAATTTAATGCACAGCTGATGTTTCCGTTTCTCACGGTTGCAGCAAAACTGAAAGAAAGATAAATTTTAGTCAGTTCAAAAAAGCCTTAGAATTGTGTGCAGAGAAAAAGTACGGGAGCAAAGACGATGTCGGAAAGTTCATCGAGAAAATTTGTGCTGGTAAAGGTCCCGCCACAAGTGGAGCAACGGTGAGTTGTTTAAATGTGACCTACTGGGTCTTTTGTATGTGTAAAAAGTTTATGTTTGTGACCGTATGTGCATGTAATTAATTGTCTGATGTTGTCATGCACCTTGTCACGACAAATGCATGGAATTGAAAACAAAAAAATTGCCATCAACTGTGTTATACGGTTGAAAAAAAAAACCTCCCTTATACCAAACTATTCTACTTGGCACGTTAGGGTAGGGTATTCAAAATTATAAGAATATTCTAGCTGTATATTAATTATACATGTAAATTGCACTTTATAATTATTAACCCAAATTCCTGGGTAGCTTATATACTCTCAGTTTTTACGCATGGGTAGGTAAAAATTTACTTTTTTTAATATGACATAGTAAATTGGAAAGATTGAAAGATTCAGTATAGCTTTCCAAGTTCTACATAATTATTTGAGATAAACATTGAAACTATAAATAACATAAAGTATCATCTGTTCTTTGTTTACTTTCTTTATGTCAGTAATTACAAATTGGGGCCCCTCAATTCTGTTAAAATTTAAAGGGCAATTTTAAAAGGGTTTTGAATTCATGTATGTTTGGTTATTGCTGAAAATCACCAAGACTTTATTTTAATTAGCACATGTACCCAAGAGGGGGGGGGGGGGGGGTATTCCAGATTTAAAGTGACACGGGTGACCAAAGGATTTTTTTGGGGTAGGAAAATTTTAGATGGTATGATGAAGAAACAACCACCAGCAATCAATTTCTATTTTTTTTGTTGTATCATTTAATGCCTTCTGGAAATTTTTAAGGTTCAAAAATTCGTCATGGGATTTTTTTGGTATTAACTTTTTGTCCGGGGATTTTTGTTCAGGTTTTGTTGGAAGCCCTAGGTATTTGTTTTGGTTTCCATTTTTGCCCCCATTTGATCATCCCTGTCACCTGAATTCCGGAGTACCCCCTCCCCCCCAGGACATGTACTTGTAAGGACACTGGGTTTGAGTTTGTTGAATGATCACATATTCATATGGAAGCCAGGAAACTTTACTGTGGATAACAAGCCAATCATGGAAGCACAATTGGGTGGGAAACAGGATTGACACTTTCTCTGGTATAAAAGGTACTGTGTTAAAAATCATTTTATTTATTAAACCATGACAGAAAGCTGTCAAGGCTGGTGGAGTAGATCGCCTGACTGATACTTCGAAATATACTGGTTCTCACAAGGAACGTTTTGATGAGAGTGGAAAAGGCAAAGGCATTGAAGGGCGTGTTGACCGTGATGACAAAGCTGCTGAAGGTTATGTAGGAGGATACAAGGGAAAGGACACTTATGATAAAACACACTAACTTATTAATGCCTAATACTGGGGGACTATTGAGTATGTACTATGCAAAAGGGAAGTAGAAGCTGATAGGATTGTCCAATCAGGGCTGTCACTAAGGGCCAAGAGCGGGCAATTTTCTCTGGCTACCTTGAACATGGCTGCTGGCTACTCTCACGTTTATTAATGAATTTTCTTGGTGTTCAATTCCTACCTACTAATTGCTTATGCCAGGCAACTTGAAATCTAAGTGACAGCCCTGATCAAACTTCTAAAGGAGACCAACCTTAACAAACTCAGCTTGGCTTTATTTAATAACTCAAAACAATGTAATTACACCTAAAAGATATGATGCAGTGTTCTCTGTGTAACAGTACAGTACATGTGCGCAATTTACTGCAGAAGTCAAATAATTTGTTAGCATTTAGCTTAACTTCACTGTGTACTAAAGTTTTTCTTTACCAGGGCTGTCATACATTCCTTCCTCTAACCTATGTGTAGCTACACCCTCCCCCCGACAAAAGAAAAATGGAGAGAGGGGTGGGAGGGTGTGGCTACACATTTAGCTGTAGGCTATCCGTCTTCATGCTGGGAAAAAAATGCATGGCAGTTCTAGAACACATCTGGCAGCAGTATTAAACATAATCCAGAAATATACTTTACAGGGTTGGAATATGATTGCTTTCAAACACTCATAAACCATTCCTGCATTGTGCCCCGGAGAGCACACTTAATGAAACAAGATTAAGGTTTGGGTGGACAAATCCATACAAATAACTCACTGTGTTTTGTCACTGCAAGCCTCGAGTTTGTGCCAAGTTAGTTCACACGAATGTGGGGACAGTCTATTTCATACATGTGGGCACATCTTTCAAAGAGACCACACTGTAGTTGTGGGCATCCTCAGCTGCTTTCCTTCCTTTTACATATTACACCTACCTACCCCCTCCCCCAGGTTGAGAGCACTCAGAGTGTAAACACAAGGCCAACTGAGGATGAATTTTCAACATTTATCTATAAAACAGTGTGGCAAAGTTTAGTATAATATGAAAAAAAATGTATAAGTAGACCATTGTGTGTCTTTTATGAACCATACATAACTCAGGTGATCTAATTAACTGTTTTTTTTTAGCTCTGTTAAAATGTACCGGTAGTTGTGATCATCTTCTAAAGACAATAACAATAAAGCCTTGAAATAACTTGATGTGTCAAACTTTTCACTGTTAGCTCTATAGTTTATTGATTGACTCAGTGATTTCCGTAGAAGTTACAAACATAAATTAAGCATATAGTTGGCTAATCATGGCAGCAAGGGCACTAGGAAAACATTGAGAAATTTACTAAGAAGAGATTAAGGAAAGGTCAGAAAAGGAAGGTCAGATAGATCTACATAAAATAATGACATAAGAAGATTGACTGAAGTTATAATTATAAAAATACGTTACAAAATTAGAGACTACTATTTTAACAAAAAATCTTCATGTCATGCATCTTGTTAAGTTTGTTAGAGGTAGAGGTTCATATACCCGTTCACCTTTGAACCGCGCATAACAACTCATGTGGAGCCACATCCCTTGTACTGCTTGTGATGTCAATAGTGTCTGTTATAATGGTCACCATTAAACAACTTTGACATCTAAGCAAAAAATTAATGAGCATGATCTAGTCAAACAGGCTGGAAAACAATAATTATTATTGCCAGATACCTACATAATTATTACATAACAAAAATAATGAAACTTTATTGAGGTGTCTAAAGAAGCACCTTAATAAAGTTTCATTATTTTTATCATCATCACATTTTTCAACACCAACAGTTTGTTGAAAATTTAGCACAGCTTTCGGAACCCATCCACATTCCTTCATCAGTGATGATGTTTGCTGTTATTCGCAGCCTCGTTTTGAATGAATGAGGCTGCAAAATTGTTCCATAAAGTGGGGGAAGGTTGTAGCCCTGATCACAGTTTATTTCCAGTTGCTGAGTATGAATGTTTATGGCCTCATGTATCTTGCATGAAAGCAGGGTGGTCTTCCTGGCCAATAATTTTTACACTAGCTCAGTTGATGGAGTGGCCTGCATGCTTAGTGTGTTCAGACACAGCAGACTTGAGATTGCAAGCTTGCACTGATTTCCCGTGCTCATTTAGCCTTAAGTGCCTAGTTTCATTGCTGTTTCACCAATGTCCTCAGCATCACAATCCTTATGTTTGATATTGTATTAAAATGACCCCACATTTTTCCTCAATGATCATTTAGCATTGACGAGAAAATTCCAATGAAAATCTTGTACTACTACCCAAACTGCACTTCCTTCCATCTAATCCTTTCCAAAAACGTTTCTGACTAAAAAGAAAGCTTAGCCAGTAACTACCCAGCGAAAAAAGGCAGAATTAAATAAAGAGAGGGTATGAAAAATAGAAATTCAAGGGGTCCAAATTTTGATCTCTGTGCATACCTGAACTTTGGAAGTTAATAAATAAATATTATTAGGCTTGGGAAAAGTGCTCGACTTATAAACATTTTTCGTGTAGTTTTTTGGCAGGATAGCGACCAAAAATGGCTCAACAACAATGTAGCTTTAAAAGGTGTTTTACAGTAAAATTTCCAGGAGTGAATGGGTTTATGATGTAACTTATTTGTACAAAAAACTGTTTCCTAGTTCATAGCGTAGTTGGTGGAGCACCTGGCTATATGAGTGGGAGACTTATAATTAGTATATCAACAACCTGAGTTTTTAAAACAACTAGTAAGATCACTTACAGGGACTGATAAAAACACATTATACCAATAAATATAACCATCCAGTGTATGAAAGTGTTTACAAAATGTAACATCCTCACTTTGTTGACACCTCCAATAAATAGACACCCATCATTGTCCTTTAACTTATATATTGGGAATTAAATTCTGGAGTCCCATAAATGATGTAATTTACTGAATACATGCATGAGAATAAGGATATAAAATATAAAGCTTTAAAAAGACAACTCTTGCAACAACAACAGAAACCACCTCAGGGGGGATTTGAAAGTTGACTCTTAATTAAAAGAAAATTCTGCATACTTAAGATTTTTCTCATTATTTGTCGTAAGAGGTCACACCTCAAATGAGAAGTCCCTACGGTTCCTCCATCCTTTTACACTGTATGTTTAACTCTTTATAGCACTACAGTGTAAAAGTGCAAGTCCCAATGATATCCACGTTAAGTTAGAGAGAGAGATCAGACATAAAATACCTGTAAAATAATACATTTTATGTAACAGAATATGATGCAATTTGTCATACACTGCTATAAATAAAACTAGGAATTTAGGATTTAGGAAAATAAATCAATCATTTATTTTGCTACAATTTTGACTTTTACTTGAATACTATACCTTTGTTTTTAAAGGATTTTGTTTATTGTTTGTCTCGTGATTGTCCCTTAGATAGTGATTATGATGTTTTGACTACGTACTGAAGGTCTTGACTGCATACTGAATTCGCAAAGGTCTTCATTAGGCGATAGAATCGCAATTGATTCTACGCGACATCCTGAGACAAATGATAAACAATAAACAAAACCCTTTATACACATTAACCACAATGCACAATATTATCTTTCATGACATATACCTTTGTTGTCTTGCTGTCAGTTTTATGTTAAATAGTGGGTTTGAATCACACCTTCTATTTTCCTGTTTAAATTGAATAGTTTAAGACTTTCTTGAAAAGTTTTCTGTACATATTTTACTACTGAACATAACTGCACACAAGTGATATTTTACTCTGTAAATCTCTAATGCCTTTTACTAGCTACTTTGTATTATTTGGAATCCAGTCTATAGTCTTTTTTAGATTGTCATAACTCCAGTGCATTTGATGGACTTCATGTTGATGACGTTGGCGCACTTCATCCAGTTCCCGAAGTAGATGGTCATTTGTGGAAACCAGTGATCTGGATTGTACATGTATTAAGAAAAAAGGAGTGTGAATGTGTCAGTAACATGGATGCAGTGTACAGCTGAAGGTCCATCGATATCGTAAGTGGATAAACTACCGGTAGATCAATGTCATAGTCTTCATCTAAAATTTAAATTTTTTTAATCATCATAGATCATTTTTGATGATGAAATTCTATAACCTGTCTTGAACATTTTATTTTTAAAAAAATAAAGTTCAATTATAAGCCAAAAAATCAATACGTATAATTATGTACATCTTACCTGTGGCTTTCTTGTAACATATTTGTTAGCTCTTGTAATTGTTGCAAGTTGATATTTTGTTGCTGTACTTGTTGGTTAAGGTTTTTGACTTGTTCTTGAAGTGAGAGATTTCTTTGCTGAAGTTCTCCTATAACGAAAGAAGCCAATACAAGCACAATTTGCCTTCTACCATCTACCACACCACCTCAGAGGACTGCATCACACCAGTCGGGAGGGTATAATTTGCAGGCTTCAGTTGTTCACAAGCTGGATAAACGCTATCCAGACTGGGTAAAATTCTATCCTGACCAGTGGATAACACAATTAACTGATTTCCCTAATACTTAACCACTTGACAGTGATTTATCTGGTGGATAGCATTATCCAGCGTTTGAACAACTTCCCAGTGGAGCTGTGCAGGTTAGTGCTGAAGGTCCTGTCGGTGACAAGACCCCATTAAAGTCACACCTTCTAGTGCTCCAGACCTGCTCCTGCAACTAAAGGCAGTGCAAAGGGCAGTCGCTAAGACTTCAAGTAGCTGTGTAATATATGAAATTAGTAGGCGGGGAATTGAATCTAGGAATTTCTTTTGGTTTTACTATACTTTAGTTTCCTATGAAAATAGCCTGGGGCTATGCCCACCGAAGCCTGCATTTAATACAGACGACACATAATTTAACCTAGTCTGTTAATACCATCTGTGAAGCAGTGCTGATATGCTTTTTCTGGGCCCCCAATAATGGACTCGACAAATTACCAGAATATGTTTCGTATTTCCTTTCAACCTGACTAGCAAATTGACAATGGCATTTTTAACAGACCAACCAAGGCGTGTATTACTCTGTATACTCAAATCCTGCTACACAGCTGGTGGCCTAGAACGAGGATTTTGGTGCTAGGTTTCACAGATGGACTTAACCAGAAGTTTAGTTCCATCTGTAGCACAGGCTATGCTCATAGTAGTCTCCCTCGCAGCCGTTTTTTGGATGTCATGCAACGCTCCCCCGTGACATCCAAAAGACGACTGCGAGAGAGACTATGCTCATAGTGGAAGGAGGAAATCTCCAACCCCCAGCTCTTAGAGACAACCTTGAGTGCAAATCCCATGGCACTACTTGATACCCAAGCACAGTTATCACACCACCAACAACACAATCAGCAGATAATCAAATTCCCTTGTGGTGATCCACTAGCAACAGGCAAAAAATGTTTTCACTTAAAATCCAGTATTACAATTTAGAGAGTTAATGTGCCAGCTGGAAAAGTGCCTTACCTATTACTTTCTCTTGTTCTGTTTCCCCATGTGAAACAACTTCTAATGCAGTAATTTTTGAGCGCAAAGAGTTATTTTCTTCCTGCAACTCCATCCGTCGTGATCGCTCAGTTGCCTGAATAGTATGTTTAGAAAAGGCATGCAATCATTCAAGACCTACAGACTAGAGATGTATTATTTTTATTTTATTTTTTTACGTTTTCTTGTGAAGGAAAAGAGCATTAACAGTATGAAACATTCAGAGCTTATTCCGTGTACCCCTTCACGTAGCTTTTTATTTCTATTAAAAGAGTTGTTAAAAGTTGGTGTCGAAACATCAAATTAAAAACTGCCAACGAAAACCTAAGATGCTTTACACCACCTGTATTCTTTTTTTTGTTTTGATTGTTTTATGAAATAATTTCTTATGTTTACATACAAAATAGAGATTAAGAGAGAAAAAAAGGAAAAAGACAAAAAAGACACACACACACAAAGTCATGCTTACATAGTACAAATAGATAAATACATAACTAAAAACACACAAAAGCTATTACAGCCATACAGTTACCTTTATTACTTCACTTTAATAGTGTTCTTGCTTTTTTTCAAATCAGTAATTTACTTTAATAACAAAGCCAATCTACAGTGTATGAGTTAGGTTATACTGAGACAATACTGGGGTCTGTATTAGCGCATTTTGCTGTTGTTTTGCTGGTGCTCTTGACTAATGGTGGCATGTATAAAAGATAACTACAGAGACTCATTTACACACCAAGTCATGTGCCGTGGCATCAAGTGATTCCTTTATACCATCTTGACTTTTGAAGTAGCTTCGCACTTGTTCTAGTTCTCGTTGTTGTTGTGACATTTGGTCACGCATTCTTGATATTTCAGCCGTTCTCTCATTCAATTGTCTTTGTAGCTTGTCAATGCTATGTGATGCTGTGTGATCTTGGCTGCCCACTGTAGCAGGTAGGTGAGACGAAACAAGCCTCTGTGCAAGACCTGCCAACACCAAACGAATTCACTTTTTAAACAATAATTATTGAATTTTTTAACCAGCAAAAAATAGAGCATTCTTGTAACCTATGCACAGACCTCTGAAAATATTCTCAAAAATTTAATTAAACTTACTTTGAAATTTGGAATGCCGATGGAGTGATTTTGATCCATTCCAGTACCTAGGTAGACAACAAAATAATGTACATGTACCAATAACATGGCTTACTGCATGACTATATAACACTACGTTATAAATAACCTAGGTTAAAAAAATCAACCTAGGTTAAATCAAAAATAACCTGAAATCAAATTTTACCTGTAACATATATATAACTTATTTTTAAAAAAATATTGCAAATGATACTAGATAACCTTACTTGTCTACCAAGTCCAGAAGTTTGTTTAAAAACATCCCTTGATCTTCAACTTGTCCTGACTGTTCAGTAGTCACCTGTTCACAGCATCAAACAGTAAGTGTGTGGATAAAATAATAAATAATATAAACTTTGTTGAGTATCCCATGTGAACAGTGGAAAGATAGAGAAAATGATCTTTTCCCCTTGCTAGAATTCATTTTGCAAGGGGTTGAGTTTAATAGGGCTAGGGTTTTTTTTTACATTTTAAGCTTTAAAAATGATCACTGTATACGACTGACATTAGATAGCACATAAAATGCATTTTTGCCTAATGTACAGGGAAAACCAAGCTGGGATTTGCTTGTTTCATTGCCCAGTTGTTTTCTTTGTTGAAGATGGTTTACACTACAGTTAAACTTAACTCGTCAATGCGAAATGCAGGGTTGTCTCTAAGATTTCAAGCTGCTGGGAAAATACAACAGTCAAGTAGATGGGGAATCAAACAGCTAGGCAGGGGTTTCTTTTGGTTCTATATTTCTTCTATTTTCTTTTGAATCAAAGTAGCTTGGGGCCATGTTCATAGTAGCCGGGGGAAATCCCCAGCCCCCGCCTCTCAATGACAGCTCTGGAAATTATTGTCATGCCAATAACATACCAGTTTTGTGTGTAGGCCTGGTGCTGGTGTTTCCTTGACAACGTTCTCGGCTCCTTTACCTATCTTGTCAGCAAGGGGTCCTTGTGATTGCCTGGGAGAAGACGACTGTCTTTTTCTAGACGGTGAAAGTTCATATGACCTTGCAGACAAAGGAACACTTTTATCCTCTACTCTTTCTCGCAAGCCAGCTACATCGCCTCTAGATTTGTCAGAGCTTAAATCCTCTGGTCTAACATGTTCTGTACTACTGAGTGTCGGTGGGTTGTATGGTTGTCTTGGTGATGGATTATAACTAGTCATCTTTGGATTGGGCGTGAAGTGTCCTCTGGTGGAGATGGTTGTATATGCATCTGTTTCGTCTCTATATTTTAGATTGGGATCGTCTGATAACCTGACATCATTATCGGCAAAGTGCACATAAGCTCTGTCTTTTTGTGGTCTTACATCTGAAGTTCCCTGTGATGATGGATTCCTTGAATCTGTTTTGTGTTTAACTGGCGGAAATATTTTGTGAAGCTCTAAAAGAAATAGAATTTGAACTTGAATTAGTGAGACAAATTATCAAAGACCTGCAACCACATCGATTAGTTCACCAGAATAACTGTCAATCTGATTCTAGACTACCTGATGTCTGGCATCACCTGAGTTTTCCCAACAGAAGGTGAACCTATGTATTGTCACTTGAACCTAGTGAAATGGCCTTACTGTAGGTTCCATAACTTCAACTCCTGCTTGAGACATCAGATTCACTTATTCTGAGTCCCTTATGAGTAACTGACTTCATCCACAGATGTAGACTTGTTGCCTTTTTGATTAGCAAGCCTGAGGTCAACATTTAAACAACCCTGCAGTTATTATAGGTAAGGTCAGTAGGACACTGTCTACAGTTGCCTTGGTTTAGCCTTCACCTTTAGATCACCTCATCACAAATATAAATTAATGTTGTTGGTTATTGTAAATAATAAATACCATCTCTAGTGTAGCTTCCAACATCAGGCACTCGGGCTGATGAACCAGAAATTCCTTTTGGTTGTGACAAATCTCCACCAGTACGTGAAATTAGATCAAGCACTGCTACGTCATCATCTTCTAGAACTGAATGTTATTTTATCAAAGTTAGAGAAAAGTTGAATCAACATGTACAATTTATTATTATTTGATGTGCCACAGACTTTTATAGTTTTCTTGACAAAGGATATGGATGAGCACCATGGAACACAACAAGAAAGGGTTAATGATGACTGTTCAATACTCCTGATGCAATCTGGTGTTCATCTTAACATTTTAGTTTTATCTTTTCAAAGAATGATAAATCTATGAGACAGTTAATATAAAAATAATATATAATTATTATATATGAATGCATAGTTACTAAAGTGGATTATACAATGATGTGAATGCTACGCGCACTGTGATTGGTCGTTACCCATGATCTATTAGTACACATACAAGGATGATGTCACGGGAAACTTGTTTTCTTTGTTTTGTTCAACATGGCACGCGGTTTTGAAAATGTTTGTGAGATTATTTCGGCAAGTGAAAGCTTCGGAAAAAGTTTAGCAGGAGCTATTTACAAAGAAGAAAAATGGAGAAACGGAGACCAAAAAAGCTATTGACTACTTGACAATGCCTAAACTACAAGAAATCTTCACAACAGTTGCCATCGTGTGTCTTCGCTACGAGAGACTCGCTGTTTTGCAAAATGTTTTCGCTATTATTCTTTTTGAGCAAGAAAAGACAGTGAAAAACTTTTCGAAGAAACTGCACACAAGTAAGATAAAGAAGAAGCTAAGATGAAAAGTTGGGTTTGGGACTTAAAAAATGCCTAAACTAGCACAAATCCTCAAAAGGTCAAGCGGTTCGAGGCAGGTATGTGTATCGGTCTGTTTCTTTTCTGATCATTGTATAAAACAGACAGATTCCATGTTGCCGTGGGTCTGTTCAGTAATAGATCACAGAGGACGTCAAAATGTGGTAAAAACAACAGTGACACACTTGCCTGTGGCTCGTGTGCTACTTCTTTGTTTTTACGACATTTTGACGTCATCTGTGATCTATTACTGAACAGACGCACGGGAACATGGAATCTATTTGTTAAATGGTTATGAAACCCATTAGATGCCTTTGTTATATGTTTTTGTTAGCATTTTTGTTCCTACTGTGCACAACTTTCAATAGCATTCATGAATATCATTTGGAACTTTCTGACCAATAGTATTATGTATCGCATTAATATTATAATACGCATTAATGCGATACGTTACCATTGGTCAGAAAGTTCAGTCACAATAGAAATATTTGTAAACAAAAAACAAAGAGTTGTGCAACGTCAAGGAGCTTCCAACATTGCAGTACTGTTGTTTCCAACTTTGATGTTTGCCGGCTTTCATAACCATGCTGTTTACGGCTGCATTCCTCGTCAAATATGTTTAGTGTTTAGTTCATTGTTTAGTTTTGCACATTCTTTAGAGTTATCACTATTAAGATTCTGTTAGATTTCTCTTCATAATTTCCTTTGCTTTTAGATCATTTTGTATGTTTTATCGCTCATTCTAGATGCATTTTGCTTTAGCATTCACGGCAACATCATCGCTGTTTTCGTTCAGTTTTGTCAGCCATCGTAACTTTTTTCTGTTCAACTTTCCGTTCAACTTTCCATTCAACTTTCAAGTCACACAATTTGTTTGTAAGTATTTTCGCTTAGTTCGTTTCCTTTTCCTGTATTTTCGCTGTTTCATAGCTGTCATTTGTATTCCTTAGTAATTTGTAATTTTGTTTTGCTTTTAGCAACCATTATTGTAATTTGACGTAACCGAAGTAAAGACGAGCTGGAACCGTGGGACTATTTGCCTATAATACAGGCAGTCTCCTCTACTAACTTTGATGAATGCTTATGATCTGCCAAGATGAATAATATATTCTCTTGCCATTGCTTTCATGATTGCTTCAAGTGACCACAGGGGTTTAAACTACTACTAGAAAATAATAATAATATCATTATTATAAATAAAACTAATTAATAATGAATACCTGTTGGTTGAGAAGCAAGCTTACGTATCATTTCAGACCTGGGCAAAGGAACCCTGCAGAAAAGCAGAAAGCATTGTAACAACAAAGTCCCTCGAACAGAAGCTACAATTTACAGTCTCACTGTTACTGTAGCTGTTACCTGCTATCCTATGACGGTCTGACTCCTACATCCCCAATGGTTATTCTTGACCATCTCATAGTAGCACCCAGGGGAAATCCCTAGTCCCCAGCCCTTACCAACTGCCCTGCTGCCCGAAGTTATTAGTTATGATCATTCCGCAAACAGGTTTTGTTGTACTTACCTCTCTGATTCCATTTTAGAGTTTGATGAGTAATGATGATCAAAATCTGATGCCTACAAAAAATAATTGAAAGAAAAAAATTGTTGGAAAATTAAAATGAAGGGACGTGCATGGAAAAATGGTATCCTAACGCTTCAAAAGTTGGATGGTGTCATACACTGGATAAATGACTATTCAGTGGATAAGTATTTAGGACACTCAAATTAATAATGCATGATCCAATTGACAGTGATTTATCCAGTGAATAATGTTATCTGCCTTTTAAACAAATTGGGCCATATCTAATAAATTCTCCCTTCGATTTACTGTACAACAACTTTCTCCTAATCTTGGCTTTTTTTCAGGGCCAGGATTTTAATCCAATGAATTGATTATGTTAACCAGTATAATAGTTATGGGTAAGTTAAATCACAGGTCATGTTTATTGTAGTTATTACATATACAAGTACCTGATCAGAAGTAAAGTGCATTATAGCTGCTCTCCTTTCACTGTCGCGTACAGACCTATCATCTGCAAATAAAAACAGGGTTACGCATGGAAACAACTTGAAGAACAACGTACACAGCTGAACCTGAATGTGGGTGACCACAGAACACATTGTACATGAACCTTAATGGTTGGACTCCATTTTTGAGCATTTAAACAGAATTAACAACATACTTTTTTGTATGAAATCAAGAAGGAACAGGGGGTTTATCAAATTAAAATCAACAGGCCAAGTTTTAGTGAACCACACTCATGAAGTGTACAATTCAAAACATACCAAGCTGGCGTAAATTGGGAAGCATGTGAACAATGAAGAGACGGTAATCTGGTTCATTCTTTGTAACTGGATTTAACCTAAGATCCAAGTCCTACAGAAAAGATGTCAGACCACCAATAATTAGTGTCCAGGCAAAGCAAAATTTATAATATTACCCCACATTTCAGTTGCATTCCACTGCACTACTTTTTTTAGCAATAACTGAGTAAATAAATTTGTTTTTATAAAACTAAACAACCATCTACAAACCTTCAAATCAGTCAAATTTCGCAGTCCATACAAATCTTTTAATGAACAAATATTATTGTAATATCTATTTAGATTGCTTTAAGGAAAACTGAGAAAATAACCCTAACACAAAAAACAAAGCAGAACAATATCAACAGCAGCAACAACAACATAAACAACAAACTGACCTACATTATTGTAATAAATTAACAGCAATACCCACATGACAACTTCAACTTTATTTAAATTTGGAAATATAACAAAAGATACATTGGGACTGGCCTGCAGTTAGTGAGGCTATTCGAGGCAGGCCAGGCTACATAATTTACTACAAACTAGATTAAGTGAAATTCTAAAATAAAATAACAGGGTTGTCACTAAGATTTCAAGTTGCCGGGTAAATACAACAAGCAGGCGGGGAATCAAACGGCTAGGGATTTCTTTTGGTTCTATTTTTCTTCTATTTTCCAATAAAAGTAGCTGGGGGCCACTCTCTTAGTAGCCGGGGAAAATCCCCGGCCCCCAGCTCTTAATGACAACCCTGAAATAAAATGAAAATAAAGGACAAATTAAAAGCCCCTTTAAACTAAGGGACTGCTGGTACTTCTACCTTCTGAAACAACTGTAATTTAATTATAAACAAATTAACTGCCCATGTAAGTATTGTAGTTCAAACAAGAAAATTGAGGATACAGATTAAGTGATTCTAAGGTGTGCTGTTCTTGCAAACCCTAGAAGTGAAAAAAAAAAATGAATCCATTGAAATAAATTAAAATAGGATTACTCCCAGTTGTATGGCTTAGTTAGGTCAGAGATTTTCAGAGGGGGGAAAGTCAGCACTCTCAAAATGGACACTCTGTTTGGTAAATACAGTGAAACCTCTATTAAGCGCACACCTCTGGGACCTTCCCAAGAGTCCGCCTAATAGAGGTTTGTAAAAATCGTGCAATGTTTGTTAACGATGAACATTCAACGGTTACAAGACTTTTCGGTCAACTTTCATTGCGGATGACAATCATACAGCTGGATATGAGTCTAATCTACAGTTTATTGACAGCTAAATGTATTGATTTATCTGTACTAATTGACTCCAGTACGTATTTCAAGGATGTAATCCAATACTACAATTCAATTCCATTCAATCTGGTGTCTGCTTAATGGAAGGTTTTAACAATAGAAATAAGTCAAATACAATTTATTTAAGTGTCTGTGTCCGCCTAATAGAGATGTCTGCTGAATGGGGTTCGTTATAAAGGAAAATATACGACATTAATTTCGGGACCCGGCTTAGTGTCCGCTTAATTAAATAGAGGTTTCACTGTATTTCATGCATGGCCACCTTGACAAAGCATACACATGTAATTATTCTGAACTCCAACAAAAACTTTCCATTTAAAGCTTAGCCTAAGCACCCAAGACTCCTGTAAGTAGAGTCTGCAGACTTTCTTTAAGAGTCATGCGATCTAGTCCTTTTCTGTGGCTGCAATGTTCTAAGATTATAGAAAAAATTGAAGAGACTGGTGCTCTATGCCTGTGAAATCCAAGGTGCCAAGCATATGATTTCCATTGAAAAACGTAGATTCTACAGTTACCCAGAAGTAAAATGTAGGCCTCAAGGGGCAACAGGTGATGCTAGAGCATAGCCTTGTCATAAAGACAAAGGAAAATCACAAGAATCTTATTAAGCACCAGTGACAAAACATGGATAGGACTGGAATTAGATCAACTCTTTAACCTTATCTCTAACATTTTGTCATTTAGTGAGTTACAGGTGTTGATTTGATCTGGTAACATTTAGATTCTTTGCTGATGCCTTTAAATTATCTTGTGCAAAATTAAAGAGGAAGTGATGGGAAGAAGGAAAATATTTACCTCCGTGGATATTAAAGCATTACGTGACAAATCCAGGGACTTAAGTCGAGTAAATCCAGAGAGAGAAGTCCCCAGTGAAGATATCTTTTCATGATATGTACCAGGCAAAGAGAGAGATTTCACATCATCTTCATGATCACAGGCAAAAAAATAATAGTGACAAACCATCATATCATCACCAATGTTTATTTATTAATGGTAATGCAATAATAATAATAATAATAATTAATAATAATAATAATAACAATAATAATAATAATAATACTTTAAAAGTAATTTATTCTTCTAAGTTGCACAACTATCAATTCAGTATGTGGTCCTCGGTCCGCGACTTTTCTGAAAAAAGAGGAAAAAACTGAATGTGTTTGATCATTTATTGATTAGTCTTCTTTCATGTGGTGAAGTTTCGGCTTTGCTGCTGTTGGTAAAGCTGCAAAATCCGAGTTTGTAGACAGATAGGTTAATTTGCCTTTCTTGAAGTTTGTACTTTTGCGGCACCATAAATTAAACAGTCATGTTTACGTGGCTTCTGAATAAATAAAACGCAACGGGAATACGTGCCTTTTTTGCAGGACAGGTTTTCAGATAAAACTTTTTCTGCCATTGGAAGCAAATTTGCTGCTGACTTTGAAGTTTTTGTTTTATTGACTCTTGAAAAAAATCACCAAATTTCACATAGTGGTCCTTGGTCTGTGACCTATCACTTTGGCTTAATGACATTTGCAAAATAAATGAAACCCTTTGATTGAATGTGTTAAAAATATTCCTTATACATGTTTACAAGTGCTCTTTTCGTAATATCTTGAACACATACAGAGTTTTTCAACTGCGCTGAATATATTCTTTATATTTTGATTTTTCATAGGGTGAAAAGGTGCTGTATTTTTATTTTTACCTGCGCTGAGTATTAACTTATAGCATAATTGTATCAAGAATATATGAAATACATGAACTATTGTGAAAATTACGTTTTCGTTGGGAAACTATCGCATTCTCTCGTGCTTTTTAAGGTTGGAACTTGTCACTTCACGATTATCGAGATGAACATAACAGTTATCTTCAGGGAGCATTTCAGCTCGTAACATTTTGATTCAGATAAGATATTCAAGATAATAATATTTAGTTGCAGACCAAGGACCACATACAGTATATTTAATTTTCAATTGTGCATGTATTACACATGCACAATATGCATGTATTATTATTATTACGCATGTATTACTAAGCAGTAATAAATAGGAAGTGGCGAGTGGTTTTGTATGTAATAATTATAAACAGTGCATAATTTAGTGAGAATGGCCATGCCTCTTCAAATCTGAGTCAAGTCATATCCGCATACTCAAATATCCAGTTTAACTTTTAAATATGTTCTAAATTGCAGAATCCTAGTCAGGACAGTTTGCAAGTAACTGAATACATGCATCATCAAAGTGACAGGTATGATGCTGATGCAGTGGGGCCAAAGAACAATCTAACAATAAAAGACCACAGGAAAGCAACAAAATAAAATTTTGGCTGATTAGAAGGGAAACTTGTAAGCCTCTTTAATAGTACTTTTGATGGTAACAGGTGTTTGCTAACTGTTTGAATTTTGGAAAACAAAACCGGTCTTAAAAAGACGTCAGATAGCAATTATCAAGCTACAACTTCCATGTCACGGTGGCGCCAATATTTTTAGGGAATTATATAATTATTAATGTAGGTTTGTTTTATTGAAACTGGCGTGTAGTTTGATTAAGCGCGCATGTAAGTAGTAATAACTCTGTGTCTGGAGCAACTGAAGAAGAAAGAGAGAAGCTTCATTACGTAAAATGCCATAAAATAAAATAAAGCGTACGAGCTAAAACATCAAGTTGAACCATGCAATGTAAACAAAACCAAACTGAAAACACGTAACTTTGTTGGAATGCAGTTAAAAACGCTATAACCATTGCCCTAAAATAGAAACCACAAGAAATCGTGCCACTAGGAGGTAAAAATGAAATCAGTTACAAAAGTTTAAACATTTAATGAAGGAAACTCACCCAAATTATCGTGTTTCAACTTGACCCTCTCCCTGATCCACTGCTCTGTGATTCTGAGCGCCATTTTTTGAAGTAGTAGAGCCCAGACTCTAGGGCGGCGGAGTCAAAGTGCGCGTGCCTGCACAGGTCAACCAACGTAATGACGCGGCCGTCGACACGACCGCCTTCACTCAACTCCCATTCAAAGCAATCCGTAAGCGGCCAGTTCCAGTTACGGACACCCTTTTTTTCGTCCCGAGGTTGTCGGCTCACGAAAGCTTCCGATGTAGACGGGCGGCGGAAGTCCTCATCGCCTTATTTGAGTTTCTACTGCACCTGTCTTAGCCTCCCTGCAGACGTCCTTTGGGGTTCGTTCGTCACGCATTCATTTCTCCCCCACGGACCGTGGGGGAGAAATGAATGCGTGACGAACGAATCCCAAAGGACGTCTGCGGGGAGGCTACATCTGTCTTGGCTCTTGGTTAATGGGAAGACTTTCCTTGCGCCTTCTTGTCTCACGCACGACCAAAGAAAACCTATTTTTCAGGCAGAAAATATTGAGGAAGAGGGCTGGAGGTGAGGTACCCTCCTCCCAGGGGGCCAGAGCTTTTCCCTTATAATATGAAATGGGAAAGGGAAAGCACTAGGACGAAGGAACAAGAATCTTATCAGCATACGCAAGTAAGGCTGAGTCCAGATCAGGCGAAAAGAATTTGAAGAGTAATGAAGAAAGAGATCAACCTACAGAGAATTTTAACAAGTGCGCCGAATTAGACTGGCCGTCTATTTTCGACTTGTCTTAGCGTCTTTTTTTTTTTTTTTTTTTTAATTACGAGGTCTTTGATAAGGAACTAATTTTTAATTATCATGCAAATAGAAGTTATTTTCACATAAAATATTTTGCGCTTAGCCTCATTTTGGAAGCGAGGGTTTTGGAATTTCGGAAATGGTCAACCTATAGATACCGCTTGATATTTATTGATATAGCCATGTATAGACATCAGTATATCAGACAAAAGGAAATCTTGAACAGAATCTGACAAGTTTGTCAATGAAAAGGTTTTTGAGTTTTAATATCATTTTAGAGTCTCCGAGACTATCTAAGGTTTCATTACCCGGCCATTCACAACTAAAACGAAACTACAGGCGTAATGCGAAACTGTGGCATTTATACAGCTTGAACTGCTACGTTTTCTAGTAGACCCACGTTATCAGGTTGACAAAGCTCAAACAACGACACTCAGCGTGGTTTACGTGCATTAAAGTTGTCTCGTGCATGCAGCCACTACTTTTTATCACTCGGATACCGTGCTGATTGTGGTGGTATACACGGTACTCATGTTATAAAATAGAAATGATACTAAAATTCTCAAGGAATCGTTTATTTTGCTGATTATTGTAAATTTTAATCACGCTACTCTTGCTCTTCTTCGTTTTTGATAAATGTTATCACTAAACTATTATGTAATTTCCGGTCATTATATTACTTCATATATATTTCTTTAAATTCGTGATATCTTAATAAACCTGATGAAGACTGGTATTGGCCAGTCGAAATATCGCAAATAAACTCTATTTCACATTGTTTGATCAGTCCCCGCAAAAGTCTTCTTGACTGTAACGTTTTCAATTTGATCTATTTTGACTGATCACGATCTTTTTGGGTCCGACGTTGAGCAAGATTGATGGTACACGGTTTTTGCAGTCGTTTTTTTTTTTTTTACCTTAATTAAACATTCTATTAATTATTATTCATTCAAAATATTTCCCCACTTCTGATTGGCTAAAAGCACGCGCATAATTCACCATAACCAGTTACCTGATGACCAAATTTGGAAGAATTTTTATGTTTAATGAGGAAATGACGTCAAAAATGCAGCCTTCTACAGGTTAAGGCACCGTTAACCGAGAAGACCTGGGGAAGAGATTGAGTTGTTTTCGTTGTGAAAACTAAATTAAAATGGTGGACACTTCACTCGTTTCAAGAGTAAGAACTACAGCTAGAACTAGGCGAAATAATGGATAAAAACATAGCAGAAACAGCAAGAAGACAACTCGGAGCGCGAAGTCTGCTATTTGGAGAATATTTGCGGAGCTGGACAAACCTAACGTACACTATCGAAGATAAACTTAACATCGATGCAGGTAAGCTTGTTTTAGCCATGTTTTTAAACTAGGAATTATTTTGAATGAATAATAAAGCAATTAATGAATTCGGGTTTCGTAGGATATGAAGAATTTAGCAGATCTCGGAGGGTGTTATCCACCCCGGCCTTCGGCCTCCGTGGATAACACCCTCCTAGATCTACTTAATTCTTCATATCCCACTCAGCCTCATATATTAATTGCTAATTAAATACCATGAATGACTCAATAAACATCTTACTAATTTTGAAAAGGGTAAGTAAACAAATTGTTGACGTTAGTGCTCTACAACTCTTTGGGTTAATAACAATGACTTTATTTGATTATTTATATGGCATCATTACCAAGTTTCAACAAAGTTTGTGAACGAAAAAGTAAAAAGGCTCTGAAAGGTTGTGCCGGTGGTGATTCTACTATAATCGTAATAACCACGAAAATGAATGCTGTACGCTACTAGAAATATATAAACCGCTCTCTTTTATCTTATATTACTTATGCATAGCTTACACTGAAGGGGAAAAACACTATAATAAACGAACAAAAATCAAGGAAAAAAGTCACGTCGGATAACAATTATGTACAGTTTAAATACGTGTCATGCAAAGGTGCAAATTAACAACACTGACTATAATATTCTCAGCATTGTCATTCACTAAGATTAGGTGAAGAGTATATGGAAACCGTTTAAGAAAAGAAAACTTAAAAAAACGAAAAAAAATTGAGGAAATTCCATCACTTTATATCCACTGTAAAATTGCTCAATAAAAGTCATCTAATGTGTCTTTGTTATATCTAAATTGGGTTCTTGAACCTCTAACACAAAAATATCAGAAAAACTGATTTGACTGCAACGTGTCGTTTGCTTTCAACAAAAAGCCCTCAGCATTTCTAAAATTCAATATGACGGACAGTTGAGAATATCAACTCAGAACAGTCTCAAGTTCTGCACATACGCAGGCCGTGAGCTCTAATTATAGAGCCTCTAATTCTAGGAGATGAATAGAAAACATGCAAACAGTGGCGTCTACAATAATTGCCACTTTTATATATCTACTTATAAATACAGCTCCATTATGAAAAGGCAGCATCATAAAAAGTTGAAAGCATGCAAACAGTGGCGTCGACAATAACTGTTCTTAAATAGCGTATTGATATATCTACCTATAAGTACAGCACCATCATGAAAATATCTGAGAAGTCAGCAAAGGCATCATTATGAGAAGTGACCAAAGTGTAACAGTATTAGCTTTCATTTTAGTCATTGTCATAGCCATTAACCAGATTAACAGTGTGGATAGTAACTGCAATCTATGTTACTATTTAACTATGAGTTGCTGGCGTTGTGTATAACGTCACTTTTTGAGGAGTTGAACCTATTCTTCCCAAATGGTTGGTAACTTTCTTCGTTTTTCGACGACAATTTGGAACATTTGACCTTTTCGCAGAGGATAACATTGTTCCCCATCTGTGTGAGCGTCCATTCTCTTCAGAACTTCACTTAGCTTTTTATCAACGACATAGGCTTGTGGAAGATTACGGATCAAGTCGATGGTTCTTAACTGGTTGCTTATTTGGTCGTAAAACGCAGAAGTCAAAGACAAGTCCACATTCTTCGCTTCATGTTGTTCGTTTCTTCTGTTTGGAATTTGGGTCTCTGATGACTCTTGTTCTGTGTTCATCTGTACTGTACGTTTTGCGTCACTGACTGCATCGTCCAAGGAACTGATGAATAAATTCATCAGTATAACAGTTATAATAACGAGAAGAGTACTGACAAAAAGACGTCCAAGGACGGAATGTGCTTCAATGAATTCTTGTATGGGCCGAGCTTTTACTCTCCCTAGAACAATTTCCAGCTGGTAGGAAAAAGCTGGCCAGACACTTGAGTATCTTTTATTTCGTGTTCCAAACAGCAAAATGCCTGAGAGTAGGAATGCAAAGAATGGAACACAGAGAACCATCAAGAAGGAAAAGAATTCTCGTACCCAAATACGCAAGGCTTGGGCGAACACACGTGTATACATATTAAAGTAAGTAAGTTGGAGAATCTTGATGGTTGTAAGAAAAATCACAATGGAGAGGAAAGAGTTTTCGATATTTCCCCACAAAACTGCAGTTTGAAAGTTAACTGTAGCAAAGATGTTGTGCTGCAATTTCTGCATGCTTTTGGAAATTTGATAAGACTTAATAAAGCTGCAGAGAAGGAGAGAAATTGAGGTTGCAAGGTGTCCAAGATCAAGCCAGCACCAGCCACTTCGCAGGTAACGCGATCCTTGTTGTAGCAAGGCCATGACTGTCTGACCTGATTTTAAGAAAACCATTCCAATGAAGATGACCAAGCAAAGACCTTGAAACATTTGGAGGATTGAATCCGTGTTGTGCAGCGAGATCAAGTCAACATGCATCAAAGGGGTAGCCTGGCCTGTCTGAAGGAGTTCAAAAAAGAAGGAACAGACACCTAATACACTGACTGCTGGGTTAAAGAAATTGAATTCTACAATGACAGCTCTTGTATGACGATCAATCCATTTTCCTAATTGCAAGTGGTTTATGACTGTGTAAGCAGTGTGTGCCTCGTAACCTAAATCGGCAGCAAATCCTCCCCCACCATACCAGGCGTGGTGTCCCCATTTGGGGGAGGAGTTGAGTTCCTCCGATGTTTGGTACACCCATGGAAGGGAACATTGTTGGAACTGAACTGATGAGTTTGCTTGCTTCAACTGAAACGGCTCTTGGGATTCCCTCCCGGTGGAGTAGCTGTCGTAGCAATTTTGATGCCATGTGTCCACGTCAAGGAACGTTTGCACAGGGCATTGCACTAACAACAAATAGATTACAGCTTATAAATAAAAGTGGGATTGGAGGGGTCGTATACAGGATGAGCCATAGTGAAGATTAATTCAAAAGATACTCTGGTTAAAAAAGGAAACAAACAATTTCGCGCACTATTTAACTTACTGTCTTCGGCGGGGACTGAAGTGAAATGATAAGAGGGTGATGAAATGTTTCTACGTAACGAAAAGTGTGACTTATTATACTGTCCAGGGAGTGGGGAAGACCTGTTATCCGTCGTGGAGTTCCCATGGAATGTCTAGCTTCCAACACCTTTCGTGTCCGAAAAACTAACTTTGTCAAAATTGCCCTTAGAGTCATTGTCAAACGTCATACAGCTCATTAATTAATAATTCACTCAAACGTTCAGTCAGCCATTCAGTGTAACGTACCGTTCTTTGCTCTCAGCTGGCGCAGTCTGATCATTCCAATCCTAGTCGATGTTTGTTCTGCGTTGATCACTTTGTACTGTTGTATTTCCAGGTTGGTGAAGTACAGTAGTGGAATAAGGTCATGGGCCATCCACGTCCAGAACAAACTTGGATTTGAAACCTGAAAAAAGGATTTGGTTTAAAAAGTATCTAAATTTGTATACTTTGTTTACACTAAGCAGATTGCTGTTGCTATCACTACCGCTATTACCACCAGCACCACTATTACTCCGCACCACAACCACCACCATTGCTACCGCTACTGCTTCTGTTGTTTCCAGATTATCTAGGAGAACCCTTAACGTTACGACATGTTTAAACCTGTTAGTGCTTAATTCAAGAATATTCATGGACCTTACTGTGATTGAAAACGGTGCCGAGAATGGTTACCATGAAATTGAGCAAAGTTTGTACCTTGGCAAAATTCCCAATATGATCATAAAGAGATCTTGTTAAATGGTATCCATTCGAATCTCTGTTTCCATATGAAAGCACTCCGAGAACAACCAGGAAGGTTACATAGAAGATTGCCTGCCTAATGGATAACCGACGTTTAGCTTTGACGACACTTTCTTTCCTCAGGCTTGATTTCTCCCTGGATCTGGTACTTGCTTTCTCTAATGGCGTTTCTTGAAGCCCATAGGAGGATACTTTAGTTGCTTTGCATTTAGAAAGCATAACAGTCAGTGAGACAATAATAACACATTTAAACGGTTGCACAATCAGAATGTCTTCAAAGACAGAGGAGATGACTGCAGAAAGCCATTCTTGGCTTTTGTCTTTCCCCCACACGAGACCGTATGAAATAGTTAAAGCTGCGGATGCAGTAGTCATAATTGCAATCAAAATAGAAGTGATGCATATCAAGCAAAGACGTTTGCGCTCTCCTTGCAATCGAGCCAAGGTGTTTTTGAACAACATGATGAGGACTTGCAAAGGCAAGAGGATAAGGTTGGCTTGGATACTCACAATCGCCTGTCTCGCAGAAAACTTTAGTGGACCTAGATTAATACTTCGGGGCGACTGTGCTCCCCAGGAGTAAAATGCAGCATTGGTAGCCATTGTACATAAAAGTAATGCAAAACAAAAGGAGAGTCTTTGAACTCTGGTAAAGCTGTCATTGGGAATCTTCGTTATGATCGATAACCAAAGGTGGCCATTGGAGAACATTTCTTTGATGGCTTTTCTTGTGATGTTGCGATTTGAGTGGAGAGGAGTTTGAAGAACTTCGTTAGTGTACGATTCATCCTCCAGGCTTAGCCATGTTTCAAAGATGAATTTCCAACAGTTTCCAGATCTTGTATCTGTAATTTCTATCTCATCTAAATACCACGAAGGGTCCTTGCCTGAATTGTCATGCCAAATACGTAATGAATAAATGTCTCCAATGTCTTCTCTTAGAGTCATTGTAAACGTTTGTGTAGATCCTCGAGTAAGAATTTTTTTGGAACCGGCTGTAGCGTCCTGGTATATATTGATAGTACCACTGTTGCCGTCAACCCCGTGTATAATAAACAAAACGTTGGCAGTTGTTCCTGCACCAAGCCAGACGCCAGTCTTTACGGATATCTGATATGTTGAACCTTCTGATTGTACTGTTCCACCGTTTAAGGATTTGTTATCTTGTAGCTGAAATCAGGAGTAAAGTAATGCTTTGTTTATATGTTTGTGTGCGCACCATTCAAATAATCAAAAGCAAATTACAAGCAATTATATAGAGCTAGCAATAACCACCAATTAGGGAGCGTGGGCGTCATCAATCTAAGGTCAAAACGCTCTGCTTTGTGTAACTTTCACTGGATAGAAGATCTAAACACATGCCATGAGATAGCCTGTTCCAGGCGTTCAGATCGTAGGGATAGCGCAAAGAGATGTGAGCAGAAAAAAACTGCGAGGGGGTGGGTTAGGGGGTCCTCCGTTTTTTCCCACTCTCTTACTTCACGCCGCACTCCATTATCCGAACGCCTGGAACAGGCTAGCCATCAGATTATAATTGATAGAAGATCCAAACGCGCTTCATCAGATTGCTTTTTATGCATTCCAATCATTGTTACTAGAAGTCCAAGAGAAGGCGTTGCTGGCTACCTAAGTGCAGTGCATATCATGCATATTAGCAAGCTGGATATTAGAATTGCGGTCGCCGTCGGTCGTCCGTAACAATTAAGCTTATGGGGTACACAAACCAACTGGCCATGTAATTACAAACGTGTTCGGTACTACGTAGAGAAATATCCAGGTACCGGGCAGAAATGGACTGAAAGCGTGACACGTTGACTCCTGTGCCCCGTTGTCTCCACGAAATGGTAGGGCGAGCAGTGGATAAGGAGTGAGTGCTATTCAAGCCTTACGTTGAACCTAGTAGGTAAATCGTGGATGTAAATATCTTACCACCGAGCTATCTTTTATGTCAGCTCTCCTGACCAAAAGGACTGCCACGAAGTAAACAAGGAAACATGTTAACACTGTTCCCAAAACTAGAAATTTGCCAGGTTCTTCTGGAGACGTTAACTCGTGATATACTTGCTCAAAGTTGATTTGATTTGGTGGTACCAGGAAGCCTCCCGCAAAACTCGTCAAGTGACTACAAGAGCACTTAAGTGTAGAGTCCTTGATAATTTCCAATGCCTTAAAAGTAGTAATATACGGAAATTATTGTAGTCCTACTCAGTGAAACGTTCGTGGCTTCTCTGTTTTGTTTCACTTGAGAAAAATGTTCAAATGCGCGGCTAGGTAGAGGTGTAATTGTCTTATTTGAAGAGGAGATTGGCGGACGAATTGAAAAGTGGACGGGAAACGTAAGTCACTTTATAAAAAATACCATTTCTTAGCTGATTTGCATATCACAAGCTATGCGACTCATTCTGTTTCTAACCAATAATATGATAATATAGGATGAGTAAAAGAATACTTAAAGATCTAAAGAAGCCCTAGGCAAGCTAAAGCGGATTTCGTTTTTTATTTCGGGTTGAGTTAAACGCTTTTCGGGTCGTCAGAGCGGCCTCAAAGCCTGTATCCCTCTAAAAACAAGATAATTTATTTACCTTACATCCAGTAGTTCTCCATTCAGATTGAATTTGTTGCCAAAAGAGACAAGTGGATTCGCTCACTTCAGAAGTGTAACTAACGTTCGCTTTCTTCGAGCTTGAAGGAGGTTGTCTGATCTTCATACATCCGTTGTCATTACCCTCCCATTCATCAACGTTTCCAGAACTTTCTGTAACGGCTTTGAAGTCCATATAGAGAACATAATATCCAGGATCGAATGCCGTAAAAGAGATTTTTATTTGATTTTTTCCCTCACATGTGATTCTACCGCTGTTGAGCCAAGCACCCCGTACCCGCTTGCATTCGAGGGGCGGAGAAGTCTCAAGAGGTTTCGCTATTTTTATGGAGGAGACGGCAACGTCACTTTCTTCAAGGATTATCCAGATTTTAACCATGGAATTTTCAAACAGAGTTTCTATTTTGTGATGTCTGAGAGCTCTATCTGCTCCGAAAGAAACGTTTACTGGATGACTTGTCTGTCGATTCAGAGGTAGTAAAATAATGACTCCTGGTGTCAGACCAGAAATGAGGATCTTTTTCCCTTCCGCATCCCGAACATCTAAACTCGCCACATCTGTCGTTACCCTTTTGCTGGTTTTATCCCAAGTAAAGGGATTGAAGGGTGTACTCCACATCTAGGAGAGAAACGTTCACCATAAAAAAATTATACGGTAAACTCTAAATTTGATCATACAAGCAATAATTATAATAACAATAATAATAATCATCATCATCATCATCATCATCATCAACTAATGTAAGAGAAACCAATTTTAGTAGATCAAATCTGTGATTTGAGCTAATTAATAAATACGTGCGCCAGTCTGTCTTAAATAATCAACATAGTTGTCGAATAGGCGCTTCCCTGTAAAGTTAATACCAAGTTATTGTTTCCTTCAAATAATGAAATTTTTCCATATGCCACTACAGCGCACAACACATACAACCCTGACCAACAATGTTAAAAATATAGCGAAAATACGGAAGGTGGATTTATCGTACCTCTAAAAACAGAACGTAGCTGTCGTTCATTTTGCTCAAGACTTTGTTGAGATCAGGGATTATAAAGCTGCTTCTATGTGCATCAAGTCTGTAACCATGGTGAATGTCTTTTTTTTGTATAGAAACCACCGTTATGCTAAGATATTTCGATGTGAAAGACATGTTTCCTGGGCGCTTTTTCAATGATAGGCGAAATCCTTCAATCATATGACTCTTCAAGGATAGGATTTTTTTGGTAGTGTTGATTTTCTGAGGAGGGAATATAAACAAAATTAGAAAATAAATTACCTAGGTGAAGATAAGAAACTGCTCCCAAGGACGCGCAAATTGAGCAGAGACTCGCGTAATAAATGTTGGCAATTAGGTCAACAAATGCATAAGACGATGTTTTCCCGATCCCTTGATTGAAAAGAGAAGTAAAAAAGGGTTTTCAATGTTTTTGATTGTATTGGGGCGCCTCTTGAATCGAGGATATGTGAGGATAGTGTCACCTAGAAAAAAATTACTTTCATAGAGGTGGAGGGTGTGTTTGTCTTAGGTGTTTAGTGGGCGGAATCACGGACGTATGAGCTACTGAGCTATCATCTTGACAAGTCTTAAGTTATCCAGAGGTCATTTGCAAGTATCTTTTCCCTCTTTTTACTCTCTGATAAGTTGCGCAAAGTTAACGCTACGTTGGAAATGTTTCCCACTCAACGCACACTCAAATCTGTTAATGATTGGTGATACAGAGGTAGTCAAAGAGTCCGCAAAGTGGATGTGTAAGCAAAATTTTACTGAAGAGAGTTTCAAAAATGCGACTTAACAAATCAATCGCGTTGTTGCATGCACTATAGCAAGGTCTCCCTCTGAATAATTTTTAAGAATTTGTTTTCAAAGACAAAACTTAATGTTAATGCATACCATTTTCTGTAGGGGCTTCTCTTGATTTGTGAAATGAACATCTCTTGGACTTATCGTCAATAGTTTTCCAATGCTGTAAATTATGTTTTTCGTTATCAGAGTCAAAGTTGAGCCAGATTTTGATGTTGTTGCTCTAAACCGTTCGCGCACATTTGCAACCAGTTTTTGCAAAGTCATATGCAATACCTGCAAAATTTCAATAGTTGAAAAATACTAAAACACAGTCAAGTTGAAATGAATTGGCCGAAATGGGAATTTTAAGGGATTTTTGGTTGGCGCCCGTTGACAGTAATTCTATGAAGTAGAACTAGGATAATAAATTAATGTACTTCGTTGAAGGATAGGGCGGATTTCTTAAATAAGATTTCCCCGCATTTTGTTCATGAGATAAAGAAAGACAGGCTATGACGTCATCGGTATTATGTATTCCCTGCAAGGTAATGAGATTCCCCCACAATACACTCTTTTATTCAGTGGAAAAATTATATTCCCAAATCTGCCCACAATAAACATGTTCTCGAGGTACCTACTTAGTATTTCCCCTGTTATCTGTCAGTTAATAAAATAAAATGATAACTTACAACGAAATCAGTCGAATTTATTTCCAGCCGATCAACTATGGAACCAATAAGCAATGAAATCGAAAGAACATCGTTGATACTTTTCAGTTTTTGTCTTGAAAGAAAATGAAAAATTGGCGTTTTAATCTGTAAAAGAAGACGATTACAGTTTGAATTAAAACAAAACAGAAGACAATAACTATTGGAGAATTTTCTATGATATAGCTGGCACTCTCCCCAAAAGCGCCCTCCCGTTTCTCTAAAACGGAGACTCTGAGCGAGCAACTAGCGAAACCTTTGGCGTCAGTGATAGTCGAAAATTTTGACCACTACTTTGCTTTTCAGTACTGGATTAAATATGAGTGTCTTTGTTGTTCTATATGAAAAGTCATTAAAAAACTTATCCCCTCGGAAACCACGGTTTCATACTGTCCTTCTCCAAGCTGTTTGGCAGGATTTCAGCACGTTAACCTTATTGAAGACGCTGTTAGTGCAGACAAGACGCACGAAAACAATGAGTTTTGATAGTACCAGTTTACTGCGTGGGCAGAAAGTAGTCATCTATTTGGAAGATTTTCCGCAAATGGAACAGATTTCTTTCTAACCTTGTGACATGTTTTGAGATCAGTGTAATTAGATGTCAAACGGTCTACCATCATCAGAAGAACCAAACTTGCATTCCCGGTCTGGTTTAACTTCCTAATCCATTCATCGCATTTTTGTGGAGAAGATGGTCGAACCTAGTAAATGATAAAATATTTTTTTAAATCTATTTTTTAATAAAACTCATTGTAACTGTAACATTATTTTTCCTAGAAATAGCTGATGATTTGGCCTTTCAAAAATTCATTGTTTTCTATTCAATAGACCTATTCGGCTAACTCAATGTTGTTTACCTAATTCAAACCATTCGGGAATAAAACGTTTTGTTTCAGTAATTTACATATCATTTAAATGTGAATACCCCTTTATAATGCAACTGTTCAGTGTAGAGGCCAAAAAAGGAACCCTTGAGACATGACTGTATCAATTTGCTGCTTAGTACAAAGAGTCTTTTAAAACCCTTTTGGCTAAGTCAACGTCAATCAAAAAGTCTTCTCCAGTTAATGGAAGTAGGATAGGTCTGTTAATTTAGTGCTTTTGCTAGTTGCTGACCGCACTGAGCCTCTTACTTTTTATCAGGGCTGAAAGGGTTCCTAAGATGTTTGACTAACGGTCTCTGTTATCCATGATTCGATTCTAGGTAAAATAATACTTATGAATCTTACAGATGTTTGTCGCCCCATTCTGAAGGTAATTTGTTAACAATCAAATTATGCACTGAAGCACACGCACCAACTCCGCGGTATGGCCAGTACCTTACGCAGCCATGGACAGCTGTTTCGCCCTTATTAGGGCACATCAGCATGTCATAGCCGTCGAGTCAATGAGCGGGGGTAAAAGTGAGACCGTGCTGGCTATGCCATGCTGATGAGACGTAGCAAGAAGGAAACAGCTGTCCATGTCTGCCACGTTGCACTGCCGGGGTGATATACGGTACTGTCCATACCGCGGAGTTGGTAGTGTGTGCTTCAGTTCATAACTGTGATCTTACATTAAGTATTCATATAAATATCGAGTCCATAATTCACAAAAGCCGCACCTTGATCAGCATTACCGTGACTCTAAAAAGCCCTTACCAAGACATTCAGTTCCTGTTTTATTGTTGTTCCATTTACAAAACGGATTGTCGTAATTATGTTAGAAATGCCGTGGATTAGTTTCGTACGGAAGCTGCTCATATTCCCTTTATATAGTATGCCATGAAGGCCATTTTGAAGCGTGTACTGGAATTCGTATGCTGAAGGACGTGAACAGGAAGAAGTCCAGCCAGAGCAGTTAATGTGGAACGTTGTATTGAGACTTTGTCCTTCAGATGGTTGAATAATGCATTTCGCTATTTATGATGTAAATTAATAAAATGAACACATGATAAAAGATAATGCAAATATATGCAGAGCGAACTGAAATACAAAGCCAAAGATGACGAGTCGTAACTCAGAGTTTCACGCACCAATTAATCATCGCTTAGTGTGTGAAACTCCGAGTTACAACTTTTTATCCTTTGTATTTGTAAATTAATTTATATACATTTACGCAAGTATTAACATTTGTCTCTTATGCTCCTGTTATGGTTTTTAAATATTGTTTGTGGAGAATTAAAACTTGGCTAGACCTCGCGCATCGTTTGAACGTGTCCATCGTCCTACAGTGAGAGTGTGCGTTTGTTTGCCAGTGAGTCACTCATAGTACCACTAATTATATTCTTATTCTGGAATGCGACTAACCGAATTCAGAGATGGTATTTAATACCTTGAGAAGGTGTATGATAAGGATAACTTAATGAGACATAAAATGTACACAAAGATTTGCCAATAGAACAATTTCACTCCCCGATGTGGCCAGCGGGAATGCAAATTACTGGACCAAACGAACGTTTTATGGAAAAGGTTCAACAGTCAATTAAAGGGCTGGTTTGAGACACATACATGGCTGTCGTTTCATTATTTTGGGACAGCGATATGGTGGACGTGACATTAAGTGAAAACGCCCTACAGGATTAAAGAATAAATTTATCATTGGATTCTAACAGTAATTGTTCTGTGATTGAGACTATAACAGCTGTAACGATAACAACACTAGCAACAACAACGACAACAAAAACAACAATATAGACTTCTGAAAGAAAACAAGATCAATGAACGGCATTGGCAAATTACAAAAAATGTGGAAGATGCTGCAGTATGGTTGAGGTAAAAAGATCAGTCAAGTTACTCCACGCGCGTCTTACCAGTAAATTGAGCTTAATTCTCAATCTTTTGCTCATAAGCCCCTTTTGTTTTTTAATTAATCATATTCTTTTGCAGCGTTTTATTTATTGACTCTTTCTTTGACCTACGGGACAATTATATGTATATGTGTATATTGAGATCACACAGTTATGCGATGGATATGTAAATAAATGTAAACAGTTGAGTGCATACCTGGTGTTGTGGGTACTGCTTGAGATAGAATACAACTTACAGTTGAACCAGTGTAGGTTGATGTTGTAGATGAGATTGCAAGAAATGTGGTCGATGCTGCAGTATGGTTGAGGTAATAAGAATCAGTCAAGTTACTCCACGTGCGTCTTACCAGTAAATTGAGCTTAATTCTTAATCTTTTGCTCATGAGCCCCTTTTGTTTTTTAATTAATCATATTATTTTACAGCATTTTATTTATTGACTCTTTCTTTGACCTGCGGGACAATTATATGTATATGTGTATATTGAGGTCACACAGTTATGCGATGGATATGTAAATAAATGTAAACAGTTGAGTGCATACCTGGTGTTGTGGGTACTGCTTGAGATGAAGTACAACTTACAGTTGAACCAGTGTAGGTTGATGTTGTAGATGAGATTGCAAGAAATGTGGACGATGCTGCAATATGGTTGAGGTAATAAGAATCAGTCAAGTTACTCCACGCGCGTCTTACCAGTAAATTGAGCTTAATTCTCAATCTTTTGCTCATAAGCCCCTTTTGTTTTTTAATTAATCATATTCTTTTGCAGCGTTTTATTTATTGACTCTTTCTTTGACCTACGGGACAATTATATGTATATGTGTATATTGAGGTCACACAGTTATGCGATGGATATGTAAATAAATGTAAACAGTTGAGTGCATACCTGGTGTTGTGGGTACTGCTTGAGATGAAGTACAACTTACAGTTGAACCAGTGTAGGTTGATGTTGTAGATGAGATTGCAAGAAATGTGGACGATGCTGCAATATGGTTGAGGTAATAAGAATCAGTCAAGTTACTCCACGCGCGTCTTACCAGTAAATTGAGCTTAATTCTCAATCTTTTGCTCCTAAGCCCCTTTTGTTTTTTTAATTAATCATATTCTTTTGCAGCGTTTTATTTATTGACTCTTTCTTTGACCTACGGGACAATTATATGTATATGTGTATATTGAGGTCACACAGTTATGCGATGGATATGTAAATAAATGTAAACAGTTGAGTGCATACCTGATGTTGTGGGTACTGCTTGAGATGAAGTACAACTTACAGTTGAACCAGTGTAGGTCGATGTTGTAGATGAGATTGCAAGAAATGTGGACGATGCTGCAATATGGTTGAGGTAAAAAGAATCAGTCAAGTTACTCATCACGTGCGTCTTACCAGTAAACTGAGCTTAATTGTCTTCTCAATCTTTTATTCGTGAGCCCCTTTTGTTTTTGAATTAATCATACCATCTGTCATCTCCGGGACACTCACGTACGGTGTCGCTGTTTTCTTTAAGCGTAACTGCTTCCAATTATAGAAGTAATGTTTACACCCAAGAGAGGATAAAGGGGACAGAGAAGGCATCCCCCATACACACCTATTCCATAGGTAATTCGTCTCGAGTTATTTTTAAGACTATAGATCCCAAGGGGGATTAGACAACAGCCAATCGTATAGCGCGAATGTGTTCCGTGTGGATGACCCACGCTCAGAGCCACACGTCCTTCACGAATTGACGCAGAAAAAAATGGCAGAAGACGCGGAGAGCAATATTGCTATTTGTTTTCTGCTAAAGCTGCGTCAGCGAAACGGAAATTAAAGACGAATCGCCCTTCCCCTCTTGTATAGAGCTAACAATACAGCAGGGAAATCCTTAACACACTGAATATTCTCTCAGGATCATTAATTACAGGTTGAGGAGAGCAATTTCTGGTTTGATATTTATTCTTTTATTAGTCTTTTATTATTCAACAAAAATGACACTTGGCGTCGACAACTTCCAGTTAAAATGATTTCACGGGTTGTCAAAGAGTCCAGCGATTCCCTTTTCCCAAGTGAGCGCCGACTCATTTCGCTTCAATGTTCAGAAATGCTCTCGATCTCTTTACACTTTCATTGCCTTTCGCCCGACATGTTTTTCACGGCGTTTAGTCATGCAAAACCTCCACGAAACATCCACGCAGCGCGCGAGGTAACTTTATCCCGATTCTAAAAATAACTCGAGACGAATTACCTATGGAATACGGTGTGTATCTGGGATGCCTTCTCTGACCCCTTTATCCTCTCTTGTTACACCATATTACCTGTGTCAGCGAATGAGGCTAAAACTAGAAGCCTAATTGAAAGGGGTAAAGTCTTTACACTGCCAATTAAATCTTACAACGTCAAAAAACAGGATGTATCAGTAGTAATTGAGGGTCATTTTACGCCGTTTTGGTGCATGGGTATAGCTATGATCTATCCCAAGCGGTGTTGGAAAAGCGTGCTTCTGAATTGCTGCATAGTATGGTCGCTTCCCAAGATATTCTTTTATGTACTCCCCACGGACAATTACAGTAAACTTCGAACTAAACGTATTATTCCCGTCACAAACATTGCCGACCTAGTTGAGTATGTGTTACTCCCTCATAACAATGACGTTACCAAGCCTCGTGCACTGAATATGTTTCTAGATGAACTTGCAGAATTAAGATTCGATAAAGGTTTAATCAAGAACAAAAAGTTGCTAAGTGATTTAATAGAAAAGGAAAAAGGCTGCCGAAATGCAGAAGATACTTCCGATAACGAGAGTAATAATGAGGAGAGTTCATCGGATATTGAAAATCAGGAGGAGCAGGTGGAGGAGGAGGAAGAAGAGGAAGTGGCTTCTGAGAATGGCAGTGAAGCTGAAGGCACCCAAGAGAGCGAAAACGACAGTGAAAACGACAGTCAGGAAACAGGAAGAAGTAGCCATGAAAAGTCCACCACCTTTCACTCTGAAAATCTCTGTGAACATTGTGAGAACTCTAATGTGTACGGGACATTGATCATGAAATGTCCTAAATGCTTTTGGCACGATTACTACAAAAGTAGTCTAATATGCGATCACCAGATCCCCGAGGAGAGAAATTACATCAAAGAGGGCTTTCTTCGGTGTAACGATTGTGGAGCGATTACATACAAGACGTTGGAAACCAATTTCTTTGCCCCTTTTTAAGAGGAGAACGAAGAAGAGGAATATTTATTTCCGTCCCTTTCAAATGGCTGTGTATTTAAGTCTTTTTACCATTGTTTTTTAAATGAAGTTTTCAAAACGGTCTCTCTTGTCTGGTTTTATTGATTGCGTTTATAAGTCGCGTGTTTCAATTGACCCTTGTTAAGTTATTAATTGTTTTTATAATAATAAGTCAAGGTCCTACCTTGGGGATTTTTATTGTAGAGATGCTTTGTATGCAACTGTGGACTTGTTAACTCGCATAATTAACTAACTAAACGGCGCATGAAACTACAAGACTTTAATAGTTTTTCTTTTCCTCGAGATATAAAGGTGAAAACGGTTTTGTAATAGTCAGACAAAATTGAAATAGAGAGTTTTCAGCCCCACTTTGTGTATATGTGAGTATGTTTTGTTAATATGTCCGATTTTAGCGCTTCCCTCGATTTTTACCGCTTCTCGCGTTGCTAGGTGATCGCTCCTTTTATTTCATTTTTTTTAATCGACGGTCCGACAAACCGGGCTAAAGTTATTTAACGGGCAAGTCTGCGCAAGGCTATTGTTGGTATTGAACGAATAAGAGAGACGCTCATTAGTAAACCTACACCGAATTAGTATGCATGAAGGTATATGAATGTTAAGGATTTACATATACCTAAACCTATAACTATACACCAAAACGGCGTAAATGACCCTAAATCCACTATTTGTATCTAATTTGTACGATTTACTTTTGAAGCAAGGTTTTATAAATATCGAATCTTCAGAGAAAACGAAAATAAGGCGAATATTTTACTTAACAGCTTGTTAACAGGTTGTTACCAATTGTTCAAAGGACAGGACATCACCATCTTATGGCTTAATCTGATTTGTTTGATTTACATAGGATGGACTGAATGATGATTGACTTACTTTGGTGTGTGGGTGTGACGCTGAAGCAACGTAATGGACTGGACAAAGATGAACTTGAACTCCAGTTAAATGGATGTATAGGGGGATATATCTCCACATTGGCCCCGCTGGAGTTATCTGACATTAAATAGATAAACCAGTTAGATCTTTTTTATTATTTATACTTCGTCAGACATTCTAACCATTGGTTAGAAAAGATGAAAAGCTTCCACCCCAATCTGCGGCGGGATGGATATAATCTAGAGGGTTTCCTTGACCATAATTGCAAACCACAAAATAACAATGCAAGCATCGGCAAGAAATAATCGCGTATACTTTTAGAAACTACACCCAGCAACATATTTGACAACTTCTTTCGTACCCGTTCAATGGCAGTATGTCTCCTTATCAAGAAAACATGTTGCTTTGCCAACGGGATTCTTCGATTCTTCTATTTCCATTGGTGGTGAAACTATGACAGCGCAGATCCCTTTCCCTTCTCCCCCCTCGATTTTGGAGTTGAAGCAAATGGCTTCATGTATTGCCCAACTACATGTACATACTCATCTGAACTAGTAAGGGGCAAACAGGGAGTATACATTTCTGGACAGTCCGCTAACTGAAATACCTCCTACAAAATAGTAATATCCATGTTCTGCCTCTATGCCGCAAAACCTAAATTTTGTGCCTCGTTTTAGAGATAAAACGTTAGGTTGCAGTCGACCAGCAGGTGATATTATCTGTATAATTCCACCTGCTCCACCACCCAAACCCAACCCTGCTCCAATGTTTGGATTGCCATTTCCCCCATCAACAATAAGTTTTGCTTGCTCCTTTAGTTCAACCTAAAGAAAATAAAGCAACGAAAATCATGGTTAAATTGGGTATAAAATCAGGCAATAAGTGAAACGTTCAAAACCAAAACGTTGGATCGACCGTTAGCGTCTTGTCACATCTCAAAATAGCAACATCCGTTTTTGGATCCAGATATCCGGATTTGGCGATTTTCCCAAAAAACGCAGACATACTCTCTGACCTTATTTCTACCCTGGGAACGATGTTGCATACATCCAAATTTAACTGTTTATAATTAAGCCATAAAGACGAAGTTTGAATCATTTCCTTTCTTAGTTATAAATAGATCCTATTTTAACACTTGTTCTCCTCCGTAAGAGTAGAGCAAGGTAACACCCAAATACTTCCTAACCCATTATCTGAGATAAGATTAAACTTTGTGATAAGAGAGACTTGATCATTTTTTAAAAGTAGAATCTGGAATAAGCATCTGTGAGAGTTTTATTCAGAAATGGGGGTAGCAAAATTCGTGGAGATAAAAATGAAAATTAGTAGTACTAGTTTTGTGGATTCGAAAAATAAACTTCATGTAGCATGTGGAGCCTACGAAATCATGGTGGCTACACTCTATTGATGCAGTTTTGTAGTATGGCTTCACCAACCTTACAACTCTGCTTTGTCAAGTGCTCGGTGTATCTATTTGTTGATTTTCAAAAAAATATGCAATCAAATCAGTCTGTGTTCGCGTCTCGACCGCTATTCTTCTCACCAAAACCAAGTCGTATGAAAATGTTGATATTTCATCCCCCGAACAACCCTACTCCGTCTGAAAATGGAAGACGAGGCTTGGAGAAGTAGCGGGGATTCAAGGGATCGTTTGTGCGTGTAATAAAAAGGCCTCCTCTATTGATTTTTACTTCTTTTGTTTGTTACTTGAGACAGCTTTATTTTGCCATGTATACAGAGTCGAACTTCTCTTATAGTGAAAAATCATCATCCGCGACGTATGCACACTTTTTTAATACAGAGAAGAACCGCTCCTCTATTGAAAAGTTGAGGTTGTGGACTGCATAAGTGTTCAGTACGATAACTGCGAAAGAGGCAGTCCCGTAGTTACACCTAGTCAAACTTCGCTGCTATTCAAAAAAGAATTACTGCGAATTTTGCAAACTGTTGTAGATACAGATTCAAACTTTGCCTTTAGGAATACTGCTGTCAAAAGAAAAAACAAGCCACAAAAATAATGAGTCACTGTAAACTACACATTAAAGTCATGGATTACATGAGAAGCGTTAAGACGAATAAGTCCACCAGATCCACCAGAACATGATTCGTTTGTTTCACGCTGAGCTGAAGCTCTGATGATTGCATCTAAAAAGTATTGAAATAAAATGTGTCATCGAAGAAACATATTCCTTATCAAAAAATAATAAAACAAATGATAAAAGGAAATAGTTGTATTTCCTGAAGGCGTGGCGTGAACAGGCTGTTAATGAAATGTCGCATTTCTGCCGATTGGGTCATTTAAGAACCTTCTTCAAGGAACAGTTTTAAGACTGAGATAGATACAGGATACACCGTATTCACAAATGGCGGACACGCGGGAAAAAACTGGTGCCTAGTCATGAAAGCGAGGCGTTGGAGGGTAAACAAAAATTGCAAATGAAGACTTTCAGTGAACTTGCAGAGTGTTTAGCACGGACTCCACCTAAAATAACTTTGTACGGACTTCTTTTTAAATACAATTACGTGGGATGTCTTCTGCTTTTAATGTTTAGTATTGATTTGCTGTTTGCAATCAAAAGGGACGCGTATATCTTCAAGGAAACAGGATGATTTTGTAGGTTTCCGAAGAATCAGAAGCTCGACAAGTGGGCGATGGCTGGAGAAAAGCGGCAAACATGTTGGCCCAAACTTCACATTGAAACCGAGTTAGAAAGCCAGCTCACTGCAATTCGGTAAAACAAAAATATAAACAATGCAAATCTTGGTGGCAAGAAAAAAAGAAATAAGCAATGGATATATATGGCCTACTTGTTAACGCAAGAGACGTGTGCCATTGAACTAAACAGTTCAAATCGAGATGGAAAAAAGGAAGACAGGAAAGAAGCGGTGACTGAGGTTTCGATGAAGTTATGTTTGGTTTTTGTTTGCCAGGACGTTATTCTCTAGTCTTTATCGATGACGGACATCAATTAGAACTATCTCTTTGGTATAAATGCAGGAGCGATCGAGTGGAGTACGCTCAAAATTTCAACTTGTTACTCGGCAGACTCGGTAAGCCGGCCACATTTCATTTCAGCGAGTAATTTTCCTATTTCTTAGCTTTGGCTGTTAACAGTTTTAACTTCATTTTCCATAATATTTTAAAAGTGAAGAATACATAAATAAATAAAATGATGGTCTTCTTAAACGGATCTAGACTCGCAGTTAATGATTCGAAACAGAAGCTGGCCGTGTTCAGTCCTGACACAAACATTGCCTTAAAAGTTTAACCTAGTAAAATGTGAGCTTTATACCACTTTTTTACCAAGAGCTCTCCGAGATAATGCCGTAAAGGAGACCAGGCAAATAGCAAGGCATAAGATTCACACACTAGAGCTTCTAGTTTTGATAAAATTATTTTATTTCGCAATGACAAAGAAATCAAAAGATTTTAAATTTGCACTGAATTTGCTAAGCTCTGCCAACGTACCTCTAACAATTCACTCCAAAGCGACGAATTAATATCATCCAAAGGAAGTTGTAAATACAGACATACATAGATATGTGTAAAATGACACTGACATGAATGAATGAGTCTCGTGAATGAATCTTTCATCCGCTCTCGACTTGACCTGTTTTGAGTAATGGCGGAGGTCTCTTCCGTTGACAAGTAGGCCATATATCCGTCGCTTGTTTCTTTTTTTCTTGCCACCAATATCTGTTTTTACTTCTGTTTTACAGAATTGCAGTGACCTGGCTTTCGTATTCGGTTTCAGCGTGAAGTTTGGGCCAACATGTTTGCCGCTTTTCTCCAGCCATCACCCACTTGTCGAGCTTCTGAGGCTTCGGCAACCTACAAAATCATCCTGTTTCCTTGAAGATATACGCGTCCCTTTTGATTGCAAACAGCAAATCAGTACTAAACATTAAAAGCAGAAGACGTCCCACGTCATTGTATTAAAAAAGACGTCCATACAAAGTTATTTTAGGTGGAGTCCGTGCTAAACACTCTGCAAGTTCACTGAAAGTCTTCATTTGCAATTTTTGTTTACCCTCCAACGCCTCGCTTTCATGACTAGGCACCAGTTTTTTCCCGCGTGTCCGCCATTTGTGAATACGGTGTATGACAGGATGATTAAAACACAGCTTCTGGGTAAAATAGTCCATCAGCTGAGAGTCGAAAATTTGAGTTTATGGCTCACTCGAGGGGAACAGCCGAAACATGTCACATATTAATCGCTGGCTATTAACCATCACAAAAATGCATGATAGCAAGGATAAAACGGTAGCTTTCACTCTGAATATCGAAATTTAAATTGGCTCCTCATAATCTCCTTTTGGCCGCCATCTTGAATTTTTTGGAAGGCTGAAAAGTTGATTATATTCTTTTAACGTAAACAAATCTTGTTTCAGCGTAGATTTAAAACATATTTGAACTAAAAACATGACTTCCGTTTATTCTAGTGCTTAAATTATAACTACCTGACGTCCTATGCGAATCAATAACGCCCGTTATTGGTCACCCAATAAGACCGGCGGTTTGCAATTTGTTTAATAACTGGAAAAAATGTAAGGTTTAGAAAATTGTTTCAGAAAAGAGTAAGTGAATAAATCATATTTTTACATTGCAAGTGTATTAAATAGAGTCTCTTGTTGAAAACAATATCTTAGTGGACAACCTTATTCAGCCACGCGTCTATGACCGGAATCAGTTTGAGAGGTTTCAACTGAATGTGAATTCGCCGCGCGTCTCATCAAAATCAATGTAATGGCCGAAGTAAGTTCACCAACAAGAGAAATTTGCAACTCGCTAAACTTGTCTACACAGAAGTGAGTGATGACTTACTGCCCTCCACGGCAAGAGAAAGCAGCCAGCGAATAACTTTGTAATGAGCCGTTGCTCATCCAATCCCACGCTTTCTTTGATCCAGTGAAGAAAGCCAACGAAGGTGAAGACTGTGCATAAGGTTCGGAACAAGGACCTAGTACTTCCTCTTGTACTTGGATGGCACTACTGGGACAGTTCCGGCAAGCGGAGGACATAACCGGCAGTTTCGATGAAACGACAGGGTACAGAAGTTGTAGATCTCCTCTGGAGCTATGTTCCATGTGGTCGCTTAGAGCAACTAACTTCGCGCAGTACGCGCGTGGACGTAGTGGCACAGGCGGCCCAGACGTAGTATGTGTCACTGAATGAATATATTAATATTCACATGGACAAATTAATGCGATGAGTGGTCGAAACTCCAATGAACTAAAATAGTCCAAAAGTCAAAATATAACAAAACAAAGCTAAGATACGTTTAACTGAATGTATCCTTGTCTTTCCTGGCCGGTTAAAGAGGCATTTTGTTGAGTTTTGCAATTGTAGGCACTATCCACTAAAGAAGAATTAAAGGCTGGCTACAAAACAAACGGACCATCTCCACGCGCCTCCACGGGGCACCCAACGACGGTTTCCTCAAATACACTGAAAACACTTTTTAGCTATTCATAAAGTACTTTTAGCTCTATAGAAATGCATTCTAAGTGGCGCTATAAAATTTGTATCTCAGTGATCGACCATTCTAGGGGAACTTGACTCTTTTCGAAATTACGAGGAATTAAGAATTATTTTCCCGAAAACTTTATATGCAATGTAACGTCTCACGAAGGAGATAATTTTTCAGATTCCTTCTTTCACCACATTTTTGAATCCAAAAATTTTAGGGTTGCTTTTTACTCGCTACTAAAGATAGCCTAACCCGGGGAGCGAAATGTGAAAATTAAACTTCAGAAAATCGTAGGGAATTTAATAGCAAGATTAGATGACCATCAAAAATTGTACATGAATGGAATGGTCATCTAGAAAGTTTTAGCCAAGTGAAAGAAAACTCCCGGCAAAATTTGCTTCTCCGAACAGATATTTTACAGAAAACAGTCGTTGGATGCCCTTGACCAGAGCTGTGAAAAAAACCAACAATAGGTCTAATTGCAGCACACTTTCTTGTACATTTCCTTGCCGCTGATTTGCATGACTGCAACGTGAATCGTCCATAAAACATCCTGGTTTTCACTTTTCGTGGAAGAAATGTAGTACATGTTGTTGTTCACTTTTCCACTGCCGCTCATTTTTTTTTAGCTCCGTGATCCTAGGGCAAATTGGATCTCTTTGAAAATTACGAGGACTTCAATATTATTTTCCCGATTGACTGACCTAGAAGCAATAGTACCATCCCTCCCATAGCAAGTGCTGCATTGTCGCGCGGACGCGGTCGCTAAGCTTGAAAATTCAGGTTATTCTTTCATGTTACGCTTACGCCAAATAGATATATCCTTCATGTAATAGTAATAGATTGTTTATCTCCCTGTATACCCTGTATACCCTGTATACCTATGTATACACCCTGTATACCCTGTATACCTATGTATACCCTGTATACCCTGTATACCTATGTATACCCTGTATACCCTGTATACTCTGTATACCCTGTATACCCTGTATACCCATGTATACCCTGTATACTTATGTATACCCTGTATACCCTGTATACCTATGTATACCCTGTATACCCTGTATACCCTGTATACCCATGTATACCCTGTATACCCTGTATACCTATGTATACCCTGTATACCCTGTATACCCATGTATACCCTGTATACCCTGTATACCTATGTATACCCTGTATACCCTGTATACCTATGTATACCCTGTATATCCTGTATACCCTGTATACCCTGTATACCCATGTATACCCTGTATACCCATGTATACCTTGTATACCCTGTATACCTTGTATACCCTGTATACCCTGTATACCCTGTATACTCATGTATACCCTGTATATCCTGTATACCCTGTATACCCTGTATACCCATGTATACCCTGTATACCCATGTATACCTTGTATACCCTGTATACCTTGTATACCCTGTATACCCTGTATACCCTGTATACTCATGTATACCCTGTATACCCTGTATACCCTGTATACCTTGTATACCCTGCATTCCTTGTATACCCATGTATACTTATGTACTCCCTGTATATCCATGTATACACTGTATACCCTGTGTGCCCGGTATAGCCTGTCTACCCTTTAGTAAAAAAATCATGTTTGATATACAAAATAAATCTTTTATGTAAACAATTTAATATTGAAAATAAATCAGTTACTTTAAAAAAAACCCTTCTGCTTTCCTACAGTTTGTCAGTACATTTTAAAAACCACCAAGTCAATCTGATAAGTGCAAACAAAAAAACTAAACTTCTACTCCACCTATGGAAACGAAAAAAAGTACTCTGAATTCATTTAGCATATCAGGAAGCCTGAACATAAACGCATCGCCTTCAAATTTAAGATAGGAAATCACAAATCTGAAGGATTTACAATCCGCAAAACTCTCGAAGACCTAAGAATTTGTTATCACTGCAGTCTAAATTGTTGAAAATTAAATACACTTATTATTTCATTAGTCCTTAAAAAGCCTCTTTTCACTTTTCATTCAACCAATTTCTTTTGGACTCAAAGGGGAGTTAGGCAAGCCTGTCCCCTTTCTCCATATTTGTTTATTCTTGTTGCGGAGATCTTGGCCAAGACCGTCCGAAACAACAAGGGCATAACAGGTTTTTCTCTGAGTAATGACGAAGTTAAGATAAGCCAACACGCTGATGATATCACTCTTGTATTAGACGGTTGAGAGAAATCCCTTATACCAGCAATACAAAGTTTAGATGATTTTTGTCAGATCTCCGGCCTCAAGTTAAACGATAGCACAACGGAAGCCCTTTGGATCGGTTCTAAGACAGCACATAAACAAATCCTTGTTTCAGGAAAGAAGTTTAAATGGCCAAAATATAAAGTCAAACACTTGGTCTGTGGCTGTCAACCGATCCGGACATGGCTTTGACGTTGAATTACAACGAAAAAACTGAAAACATTAGGAAGCTTTTGAGTTGCTGGAAATATTGCAGGCTCACGTTGTTAGGGAAAATTACTGTCCTTAACTCACTGACCGCATCACAACTGGTATACTTGCTCTTCCCTTTTACGCTCAAATCATTACGCTACAAAGGAAATAAATGCCATGTTTTACCATTTTCTATGGAATGGTGAAGGTGACAAAATCAAGAGAAAAGTTATGATCAATGAACCTGAGTATGGAGGTCTGAAGATGATTGACCTTTATCCTTTCATTAAATGTCTTAAAACAACATGGGTTAAAAAGTACTTGGACGCTACTTAAAACGGAAAATGGAACGTTATCTTTGATCTATAACTGGAGAACTACGGCCGCAATCTCATTTTCCGTGGTAATCTCAACGGTTGAGACTCAACGTCTCTGACACTATGAAAGAGATTAGGGCAACGGACCCCGTAACTAAAGAAAAATTGGAATATTGGAAAGAAATAAACTTTGTGGATAAAGTAAGTTCTGATATCGCTTGTCAAGAACAGGTTCTGTGGTTCAACTCTTTGATAAGGATAGATAATGAAAAATTTCTTTTTTAAAGAGTGGTTTGAAATAAGTATCTCCAAAATTAAGCACGTCGAAACGGGAAACGATAATTTTCTGACTCTCAAAGATTTTGCCTCCAAACATGATTTAAGAGTACGCCCGCTCAGTTTTTACGGTTTACTATCAGCTGTTCAACGAATTCGCAAAAATGTTACCGATACTGCTGAGACAAAAGACTATAACTTTGAAACACCGAGTGAAAACTGAATTGTTAAAAGAGAAAAGCTAGGTCCATTAATTTACCAAAAGCTGACCAGAGCCAATAGTTTAACCGCACGTAAAAGCCAACTAAATTGACTTCAAGACTGTAACTACTCAGACGAAGAAGGAACATATAACTAAGAACTTACCTATTTTATGGCGCAAAGTACGGTGCACAAAAAGCACCAAACTGAGTTCCAATTTATACTATCACATAGGCGCATACCAACCAATGATTTCTGACTTAAAATAGGACGAAAAGAAAATGACATATATGCCTTTTGCAACAATTCCTCAGACACGCTAATTCATCTTTTTTGGTCTTGCCATGTTACATGAATATACAGGGTATAAAGGGTATACATGGGTATACAGGGTATACATGAGTATACAGGGGTATACATGGGTATCCAGGGTATACAAGGTATACATGGGTATACAGGGTATACATGGGTATCCAGGGTATACATGAGTATACAGGGTATACAGGGTATACAAGGTATACAGGGTATACTGGGAGTACATGGGTATACAGGGGTATACAGGGTATACAGGGTATACAAGGTATACAAGGTATACAAGGTATACAGGGTATACAGGGTATACATGGGTATAAGGGGTATACATGAGTATACAGGGTATACAGGGTATACATGGGTATACAGGGGTATACAGGGTATACAGGGTATACAAGGTATACTGGGAGTACATGGGTATACATGGGTATACAGGGTATACAGGGTATACATGGGTATACAGGGTATACAGGGTATACATAGGTATACAGGGTATACAGGGTATACATGGGTATACAGGAGAATGGACATTCTGTTACTGTTATATGAAACACTAGGTCTATTTGGCGTAAGCGTAACATGAAAGAATAACCAAAATTCACGTCGCGTATTAAACCTGGTAGTTTGCGGTCATATCGAAGCATAAAGGTCAACAGTGTTTGTTGATGGGCGAGCGATTATTGTGCAGTTGCGATGGGTTTTGTGGAGCCAGCGAACAAGAAGCAGGAGCACACGTTACCTGCAGAGTAGCCGATGGCAATTTGGAGCGGATTCGTCGATTATTCTCGAATTTATAGCGCTTCGCGTGAAGGCGCGTGGAGATGGTCCGTTTGTTTTGTAGCCAGTCTTTAATTCTTCTTTAGTGGATAGTACTTACAATTGCAAAACTCAACAAAATGCCACTTTAACGGGCCAGGAAAGACAAGGATACGTTCAGTTAAACGTATCTTAGCTTTGTTTTGTTATATTTTGACTTTTGGACTATTTTCGTTCATTGGAGTTTCGACGACTCATCGCATTAATGAGGGTGTGAATGGGGTTAACCGACTAGCGACAAAGGGCGAAAAATATTACTGACTACCGACAAAATGAGTAAAAAATTACCGACTACCGACAGGAAAAATATTAACCGACTACCGACATGGGCTGATATTATCAATATTTGTTTCCAGAAAAAGAGCATTTTGTATTTAATCTAACCGTTAGCTCGAGGAAGTAAGTAACCTCTTTAAATTTGTGACTCATCAGATGGCCTAAGGGAAAGAATTTCCGCATTGCTACAGCCAATATCAAAATCACAAAGTCACACCTTAAAGATGCTACCGACTTTATAAATTTTATTGAAAAGTCAAAGGTGAAAAAACCGAACGTTTTTTGCTTAGATTAATCCTTAAAGAAAATTCTTTCCCGTTTAATGTAAACAACTATCAGTACAAACCCACGTTACCGCGATGAGCACAAAGACAGCAGTTTCCTTTCCAACATTTTCATGGCACATATTGAAACACAAAGTTTAAGCAAAACCGTCTTTAAACCAACTGTTTGAAAACGCTACATAAATGACATTTTTTCCCTATGGGATATAAGTAAACCAGACATCGTAGCTTTCGTCGCGGAACAAGTAAAGTTATATGCCCTCCTATGGAATTCACGGCCGAAAGATCTGAAAATGAGACATTCTTGTTAGAAACGGTTGTATACCAAGGTACAACATTCAGCGAAAAATGAGAAAAAGCTATCTTTGATGTAAAGACGCATTTGAAACGGAAACCTTACAGTATATACATTTTCACCTCTTATCACCCACCAATTGATAAAGCGCCTGTTTGACAAACGAAAAGCCTGAGAATCCTACGAACAAACTCCTCTGAGGTATTTCAGATTCCAAAAGCGCTTGATGGACAGAGGCTAGCCACACGATTTTGAAAGAAAATTGCTATTAGAAGTAAAACTCACAGAAAGGAAGGCAGCGCTCCTGAAAAAAGACAACCAGGAAGAAAAAGACTGAAATATTGCCTTTCGTGACACAATACCTGCCCTTAGCGTCTATGAAAAAGAAGCTTTAATGAAAAAGTGGAATCTCATACAAAACCAACCTCTATCATGCCAAAATTTTAAAGAACCACCTAAAGAGCTATTTCTTTGAGAAAGGAAAATTGTGGCAAAGGACATGCTTGTTAGAACCAAAACATAAGAGGGATAGATGTGCAGCCTGTCATCCCTTGCAGTTTTTCAATAAAAATAATTCAAGTATCCAAAAGGCTAGAGTCCAGTAAGTAAATAATTAATTACTTTTTACTGTGCCCTGTAGTCGACAGGGAAACCAAGTTCGCATTTACAATAAAAGCTTTGGTGATTTTATCAGTACTAATTATTCATTTAATGGCAAACAATGATGAAATAAACGTCCATGTTGCATAAAAAACAAGAGTTAATGAACGGTTTAGGCGCAAACAAATGATGCATTCTTGCAAGTTTTACTTTTTCCTTAGGGATCAAAGTCTTGAAAAGTGGGTGAAATACATAAAAAATATTAATAATTAACAAGCGTTTTTACTTATTAACTAAGATTTTCCGACAACCGGCGAAAATTGAAAAGTTTAACCGACTACCGACAAAGATCGAAAATTTTAACCGACTACCGACAAAATTACTGAATTTTAACCGACAACCGACAAGTGGACCCCCCCATTCAGACCCTCATTAATTTGTCCCTGTGAATATTAATATATTCATTCAGTGACACATACTACGTCTGGGCCGCCTGTGGTAGTGGTTGACGTGTAGCGCGAGGTGTTGATCAAAAATGTCAAAAGACTGAGAATAACGTCTACCGCTGACAGTGTGCAATATAGGAATTTAGTGCGATGCACTATGCTGTGAAGTCATGGAACGAGCTAATAAGTGTTAACAGAAATAACCTGAAATCGTCAAATTCCCTGTGCCACGGGGCAAAACCGAAGCATTTAGAAGCAGACTCGGCAACTGGATCATGGACTCCCCGTGTGAAAACCGAAGACCAGTCGGGCGACTAGACGCAGACACATGGTGATCAGAGACCCTGACTCGCTACGAGATTCATCCCGAGCTTAAGGCTGAAAGGTCAAGCTGGAGAATCTGCCGCCATGCGAGTCATCTTTTCGACTTACAGGAGCAATTATTAAGCCTCAATGTGAAGAAGAACCATCGTTCTGCTCCCCTCTTTGGCACGTTACCGTAGAGTAGTTGCAACTCATGCGTATGAACCTTTCTTCAGCTTAGGATGTTAGGGCAGAAAATGCAGTACATGATGTGAATCTATGTTTATGTTAAATTTTCCGAACGCGAATTTCAGCAGTGAAGAGTGGTGCTATGCGAATGATGTCAGTTATGGGATCATGTTTCATGAGTGGAGCACGTTTCGAGGTGGGACGGGGGGAGGCACTTCCTTATTTGGCTTATACAGGTCAGGTATGTGCTGCTGAACAGAAGGACTTGAATATTATACAGGGTGTAGAATTTTATTATTGAAGTAGTAAAATTCTAATTATCTATTTTATTATTTTAATAGTACAATATTCTATCTTAATAGTAAATTCGCTTAAAAGCGTCGTGAACAGTGTCTTTTTGGGCTGAAAGCCTTAAAAAGACTGTGAGGGCTAGCGATCAGCAGTTTACATTTGCAATACCAATAATTTTTTCCATAGTATTTATTTCCGTGATGTTAGTTTAAAAAACTATTTGATTCTTCATGTAGAACTAAACAAATCAATGTCAAAATCTTAAACAGTGTCGAGGTTGAAGGTCTCGGCGGTACAGCTCTTTCAAGACTTCCCTTGAGTCCAGCCCCTCCCCCACCTCGGAGCATGTTATCTGCTCTTATTTGTGCCTTACTGCCTCTTGGTAGAGGTACTTGCCGTAGAAAACGAAGCTACGATAGCTCTAAAAATGTTCTTCTAGCATTGTGATCCCGACGGCCTTAAACCTTGGACGACTGCTTTGGTCGTTATTACTCCATATGGAACGATGCATGATCATGCATGTTTTCCTTCCTAGACCAATTTAGCTTTCAGTTTAAATACGTTAATAAATTTGTAAGCAACAACGTCACAAAACGTTTCCAGCGATATCTCGCTTTGGATATTCTGACTAATCCTTACAACGTTACACTCACAGAAAAGGTAACATTTTGAGAAAAAATCCGCTGCCAGTGTGGCGGTTTATCTGCTACTCTTTGAAGATGAAATATTTTCCTTTCCTAAAACGTTGGCTAGCCACAATTCTATACGAAAAAAAGACGATAAATAGGGCAAAAAAACTGCTAATATAGAAAAAAGGCAAAGAAAAAAAGAAAGAGCTAGAGAAAGATCGAAATAGATTCGCAAATAACAAAGTCAAAATTTTGGCTTGTGCGCATGCGTGAAAAACAAAAAAGCTGTTTAATTACGCGATTAGTCGGAAAACATGCTTTTGTTTGATGCAAAATTCATTTTTAGCTACTCTTTTAGCCATGCTAATTAGTCGAAAACCAGTCCAAAGAAGAGGAATTGGTGAAAAATGCGGTTTTTTCGCTCCTCGCCGGCCGTCACCAAAGGTTAAACAAACTTACCACTTTCAAACTGGCCCATTTCAACACAAAACAGGTTTGTAATGTGAAAAAGATTAAGAAATTCATGTTAATAGCAATTTTCTTATTTAGATGATTGAGATATCAGTTGGCGGTCACTGTGACGTCATACATGACGTCATCATATCTTGACTAACCTTATCAATGCTAAAATGATATCTCAGGTACCTAGTTGTTCAAATCTTTAAAAAAATCGTGTGTTTAAATTAAGAGGGAATCAAAGGTTTGTTTATAAATCCAAGATGGCGACCAAAATAAGGGTTTAAGTGGCAAATTTAAAATTCGATTTACAAAGTGAAAGCTACCGTTCTATCCTTGCTATCATGCATTTTTGTGATGTTTTTACTCAAATTAAAGATTTAGATTATACATGTTTTGTTTGTTCCCCTTAAGTGAGCCATACAACCCCCCTAGCTGATGGACCAAAAGATTAGCAGTGTTGCATAGAAATTAGAAAAATGAGTAGTACACTTAATTACAAGGTCTTCCGGAATGATGGTTATTGTGGGGAGCCGAGCACTACCTCTGCTCCTGTAGCAGTTGTCATCAGACTCATATTTTTCCTGAGCACGTTTCAGTCTTTTGGGGTTCTACGTTGTTAACAAGTTACATATTAAACAGTTTACAAAGAATTTGCTAATCGTTTATACTTATGGTTATGCATCCTTTCTCTGCTACAATTTCAATGGCTCCTCCACCAGCAACACTTCCTGAGCGATGAGCACATGAACCTAAGGTTAAAAGAAGTTAGAATTAACAGCAAAAATACAAATTTTAAATACTATTTATCACGAAAAAAGATTTATTTTCACCACTGATAGGTAACATTCATTTGTCTTTGCATACTTATATCTCAATCCTTTTTGAGTTTATTTGTTGTATTCTTTAGTTGTAGATGGGATATTTTCTGGTTTAGTAGTATAGTAAGGACCGAATTGACCTTTTTAGAGAGGAATCTTTATTTTAGGGGAATACCTTAACGTCGATGACGTTATAGCTTTTTGTCTTAATCTCATTAATATAAATGGGGTGGAATCTCATTATCTTCCCTTTTGGTTATTTCTGATACAATTGAAACAATAATCTCACCTAACCTTGACTGGTTGAACCTGTTTGTCATGTTCTTATGCTCTTTAAACGGTTTGAAAGGTTTTGTAGTAATTTTTAGGCAATGACTCAGTCTTGGTTTTTGATTGGTGGACTTGAAGCTAAGAAAAATTTTCATTGGTTGATTCATGTTGTCGAAGGAATAATCTTGTGAATTAAAATCACTCAGCCGTAAAGTAACCATAAACGATCAATTTCCCGCCGCTGTCATTGTCCATTGTAGACAGCTTATAGTCAAGGTTCCAGTTCACTGATTCTTGGCGCGAAAATTGTACATGGTAAGGAGGATGAAGGCAAACTGGCTCTTTCTACCACCAAAAGATTTTTTGGCTTAGTCTCTCTCCTTCACCACTCCCAGCGCCACATTTCTACTGTTTTCCCTCTACCACCCCCAGTACCACGTTTCTATTGTTTTCCTTCACCACCACCACATTTCGAATATATATATTAGCCAAAGCTAAAAGTGAAGCTCCCGTTTATGCATTTTAAATTTACTACAGACAATAGGCTTAAATCTATTGAAAAGACCACAAAACTATACTTAACTTTACGGAAAAACCATGACTAAAGACATAAACTTGAGCCCGCGATCATTAAATAGCTAACAACTGGTCAGCGAAAAACTTTAAAAAACACGCGACTTCCATGATCTGGCATCTGAGCTGGCGATACGGTCATGTGACACTGGTAAGCAGATACTGTTTTGACACCTGTCAATTGACCATAATATGGATGTCTATTGTCAGGTTAAAAACAGGTTACAGGCCCCCACACCAGCTAGAAAATTAGACATTTCACATTTTGGTCTCCCTGTGGTACGGACGGACAGGTGGATGGGCGTATGGTTAGTCGATCACGCGATTAACAAAATTTTTCAGATAGATAGATTACCAAATTTTGTTAGGTATGGGCTCCGCTCGCGCGCTCGAACGTGACGCCTCGCTATAAATTAGCTAATTAATTACAGTTACATACACACATACTTTTACTACAACTCCCTCAAAGGACTTTTCAGTTACGGGACAATAAGGCAAGGAAATTATACGAAAAAGGAGTCAATAACAGTAATTCATAAAAATAATAATTACAAAATAAAAATAATGAATGAAATAAAACTTGCTATTTCCAATCCGGTTCTTGATTAGAAAGAGGTAGTTTGACAAGTCGCTTCTTAAACATGTTAACTGAGTCGGTAGATTTAACATTATTACTGATGCCACTCCAAAGCTTTATCCCTCGGTAGGAGAATGACCGCTGACCGACAGCTCGATGGCATCTCGGAATGTTCAGCTGACTACTCTGTCTGGTACTTCTTTCGTGGTAGCACTGTTTTGTGTCGTGAAGAACAGCCGTGATCTTCTTCAACTGTAAGCTGTTTGTCCACTTCGTCAGCGACAGTTTCTCTTAAGAACAGACACTCCATAACTCATGCATGCATTAGTCCAATGTACTTAAGAAATACATTCGAATCCTCGAAGAAAGGAAATTGTTGTCATATAAAGATGCTTATTTATTTATTTATTTATTTAATCGCTTTCACCAATGATTACAATGTTAAAAAAGACTAGGGAAAAAATACATTTGAACAAGACCCAAAAACGAGGGACGAAGTAGACCAGGGGCTCCTAAGTAGACCTAGCAAAAAAATTGTCTCCTACTTTAGAAAGAAGCAAATTCTAGTACAAGTGGGTGGTCCCTGTTGTTACTAGCTTAGGTTTTTTGATGCTATAAAAGAGTAAACGAAGCTATTAGTTACTTATTCGAAGCCTCCCTTCCACCGGCACCTCTCGAGATGAAGAAAAAGATAGATTTTTTTGACAAAGAGCACAATAGTGAAAAATGAAAGAGCGGAAGTTTTGTTGATGAAAGCAGTAATAAAAAGCCAACGATAAAAGATCGTTTGAGTAGTCTTTCCCAAGCGAGCTAATGTGACTCCTGTTTTTAAAGCTGATGCTTAAGATGTAGTCGAAAATTATCGGTCTATTTCATTACTATCCATTCCGAGTAAATGTCAAGAGAGGATTGTGTATAATGCTGTATACCCGCATGTGGCTCCTTATCTGACAGGCTGACAGCATGTGTTTGTGAGGGGACGTTCATTTGCTACTCACTTAGCATCATTGACCATCAGTGACCACCTTGAATGAGGGCAAACAGGCGGACGTTGTTTTCCTGGACTTTGCAAAGGCATTTAGCAGAGTGGCATATAATATCTTGCTGCAAAAAGTTGGGTAATTTTGGTATCTCCGGTGCGCTTTTGAATTGGTGTAAGGATTATTTCACCGACAGAGAACAGAGAGTTGTCATAGAAGAAATGAATTCTACATGGTGAGCTATTCCATTGGGCATACCTCGGGGCTCCTTATTGGGCCCTTTGTTCTTTGTAATTTTCATTAGTGATTTGACTGAAGTAGTAATGCCTGGAAACTGTGTGTCATTATATGCTGACGACTGCAAAACATCTAGGATTATAAACTGTCCAGTTGATCATTCCGTATTTCAGTCAGATCTCGACAATTTATATGCATGGAGTCAATAGAACCTCATAGAGTTTAAAGTGAAAAAAATTAAACTAATGCATATCACTAACAGGAAAACACCTATTCACTCTGACTTACACTTAAATAATAATATCCTGGAGCTAACATCTGAGTTCCGTGATCTGGGCTTGGTTACTGATTTTAATCTGTCTTGGAGCACTCATATTGATAAAATATCGAATAAGGACAACAAGATCCTAGGTCTAAGGGATCTGTAAAGGATTTCAAGATGTTTCCACATTGAGAACTCTGTATCTTGCCCAGGTCAGATCACAGCTAGAGAGTTACATTGTTGTGTGGTCACCACATACATCTAGAAATATTTCTAAGTTGGAGCGAATTCAGCGAAGGGCAACTAAGTTTATTTTGAAGACCAATGATGATTATGAACAACGGAGAAAAAAGCACAATTTGTTGTCCTTAGAACAAAGGCGATTTTTATTTGACGTATTATTCCTGTATAAAACCTTGAATGGCTATATAAATATTGATCTAGCTATTTACATATGTACATTTTTTCTCAGATTCTGATCGGTATCCTTTAAGGGGAAAAGATGAATGTACTCTTAAAAAGAATGATGCTAGAACTAATACATTTAAGTTAAGTATTTTCAATAGGATCGTGGATATGTGGAACACTCTACCACTGCCTTTTCGTCAGGCAGCAACTAGTGCTAGTTTAAAAAAAGGAGTGAGGGAGTTCTTAGATGGAAATGTGTGAGGCTTTATAATTATTCGTATTCTTATTTTATTCATTGTTTTTTTTGTACATATCTCAGTGTGCATTTTTACATTTTTAATTGTCTGTCTTTTAAACTTAGTTTTTATTATATGAATATTTTTTAAAAGATGGTCTGTCTACTATGGGGTCTTTGACTCTTTTACAGACCGTCCTTAAGGCAATGCCTTTCTTTTTATCACTTACCTGAAACCTTTGCCATTAATTAAGATTGTAATAATTTTTTTAAAGCGGTGTGTAAAGAGCATACTTTTGGTTTTCTACATAGCATGGCAGCTTCTAGAGATATTTTATTATGGCCTCCCCGCGGACAGTCAGACTTCGAAATAAACCCATAATTACCGTGACAAATATTACCGAACTAGTTGAGTGTGTTCAACGCCAGTTCCTCGTAACGATTATGTGACCAAACCTCGTGCGTTGAATGTGTTCATAGATGGACTTGCGGAGTTTGTAGTCGATAAGGGCTCAATCAATAACAAAGAATTGCTTTGATAAAAAAAGAATGGAGGCCTTTTAGATCCTAAGGCGAGTACAACTACGAGTACGAGATTTTCTCAATACTAATTAGTGCGCGCGCGTGAACCAGCGTCATTTTGGCGGGAAAAAGTGATAGTCGTTGTCATTCTACTACGAGTTTTAGCGAGAATGTAGTGTTAGCGGACACAAGTTATAAAGTGTTATAGGTTGAATTATTTTGCGGCTGGGAGATAGCTTAACCTCTTTCAATAAAGAAAACAGTGCTAATTTTGTTTGGTGAAAAAGATGTACAATGAGGCTATCCGGGGTGTCTGTTATTTGAGAATACGGGAAAACACTTTAAGTGAAATCTGGTACTCGTAGTCGTTCTCGTCCCAGAATCTAAAGGTCTCTAATAAGGCAACCAAAATGGACAAAAATACTTCCGAGAACGAGGGTAATGTGGAAAGTTCATCGGACGAAAGGAAGAGGGAGAAGAGATAGCTTCTGCGAATGACAGTGAAGCCGAAGACATCCACGCGAGCGACAACGACACTGAATACGACAGTGAGGAAACAGAAAGTAATACCTTAGAGTAGACCACCACGTTTCACTCTGACAATCCCAGTGAACATTGTGAGAATGCGAATTTGTACAAGAACATTGATCATGTGATGTACTGAGTCATGGAGCAGCTGCTTGTAAGAGAAGTCAGATACCGGCACCGTGCAAACGACTTATTGAAGCACCCAAGCAAAACTAATTACGAGAGAATGACTAGACAACTGACAATTTGACTAACAATAATCGACTGTTTAACTGTGACAATAGATGGATCGAAACGCACCAATGACATTACGAGTCTTCATGGCCAATAACATCACGGCTTGCGACTGACAGACGACCGATAACATCGCGACTTAATTCACAAATTAGGTCAATAACCAGAGTATAATACCATCACCTGACGTGATACAACTCACTTTGACTCTGAAGATGACTACCCCACAGGTTGTCGAAACGTCAGTCAGTGTCAACAATAACTGTCCTATTCAGGATTATGTTCACCCGGATGATCATACTTATCCTACTCATGAAATGCCTCCTAGGTTGAAACCTTTCACAGTCATGACTACTCTACTTACAACCAACAGTTTCCAGAATTTTAGTAAAAAGTAGTTAAAACACAGTAAATTCTTCTAATATAGGCCTGATTTGTCGTGGTGAGTATGCCGTAAGGTATAGTAATTGTAGTGTGCCCAAAGTTTTTCTTCACTTGTTTTTTTTCTCTATTAACAAATTTCCATTACAGCCCTCATTAGTACTTAGATCAAAGCCACAAAGTGATTTTAAAATAATTTATCTCACCTCCGCTTCCTCCTAATAGTGATACTGTGTCCTGTTGATCATATGCTTGATCTGAATGTAGGGGACCACCCGGAGGCAGTCCTCTTCCGCCATGACTAGAACCAGGTATGCAAACAAGGTGAAAATAAAACCCTGCGGCTTTTCTGAGGCCACCAGGACCAAGACCTGTAAAGAAAATAAAAATCATTAAAAATTCCCTGTTTACAAAACTTAACTATCATCAAGAAGTCTTATTCAGTCGTTAGAGCACAAGAAAGGGGTATTTTATCGGACTTTAGAAATGGAGGAAGAAATTCAAGCAGAGCATGGTTTTTATTGAATAGTACTTCACTCTGCCCTTCTCTGCCCAGTTGTAAAAAGCAGTACCACACGAAATAATCAGACTGCCACTTTCCTGTGATGGACTAGCATTCTATTCGGGAGAGTAATACTGAGGACGCGACTTATCTCTGTTTCTTAAAATTACGAGAATTTGATCAGATATAAAGAAAAAATAGTTAGTAATTGAAATATCCAGCTCACTACGTTTATGATCTTGAAGTAAAATATTTACCTGTTGTAAGACCATAGCCTTTGCAAAAATGAGCTTTAATTAGGCTGTATAAGGTTCGAAGATCAGCATATTTAGAATTTCCTCTATTTGTTTTTTAGAGACTAACAAAACGTAACAATAAAACGTTACAAAAAAGTGTTAATTAGGGACTGGTCAAAAAGTATAGGGGGGGGGGGTGGGCAGGGGCAGAGAGGGGGTGGGTCATGAGGTTTTGAGCCTTGTGCAAGGGGTGGGTCGTGCAATTTTCAGCTACCCTTAGGGGGTGGGTCACCCTATTTTATACTAACTACTAACGAGACAGTTGACTACACTTGTTATATAAAACACAGCCAGCTGGAATTATTGCTAAAATACTCACAAACCTGTTGTGCGAGAAAATACAAAGGTTGACAGGCCGCACATCTATACGGGCGTGGAACCCTCTGTTAACCTTTTTTTTTTCGGCTCTAACGAGCATGTCCTTTAACGATTTTCCTTTTTTGTAAGGAAATGATTGGTGGTTCTTTAAAAATTTATTGAAGTTATAGTTGGTTTTGTATAAGATTCAATTTTTCATTCAAGCCTCCTTTACAGTAGACACTGAGGGCTGGTATTGTGTCACGAATGGCAATATTTCTTTTTCCTCCTTGTTGTTTTGTTTTAGGAGTTTAGACTCCCTTTTGTGAATTTTATTTCTGATGGTAGGTTTTCTATCAAAGATAGGGGGCACCCAACGAGAGTATAGTTCAAAACCAATTTAAACAGTAGATATAGGCATACTTTTATCCCCTAAAAATTTTCCATCTGGTCGGATCTCCTAGCTGAAAGTCTAGTGACACGAAAATTATAGGGATCAAAACTTACTTTTTCGAAAATTTCAGCCAGAAAAAAGGCTCCCGAAAATTCTAGGTGACCTTTTTAGGGTAAAAATCCGTTAAAAATGGGCAATTATACCGTTTTTTTAGATGTTCGAAAATCCTAGAAGGGGCAGACAAGCAAGAAGTTTTACGAAAAATGTTCCAAAAATTCTAGATCTCAAATCGTCTTTCGAACAGATATTTTCTGAAAATTGACATTGAGTGCCCCTGAAAGATTGTGGTTAGCCTCCGTCAGTCAAGCGTTTTTTTTTTTTTAATTTGAATTATTTTCCTCAAAGGTTGTTTCTGAGGAGTTTTTTCGTAAGATTCTTAAGGCTTCTCCTTTGACAGATTCTTTTTTTAACATTTGGAGGGTGACACGAGGTGAAATGTGTGTGCAAGAAGCTTTTTTGCATCAAGGATAGATTTTTTCTTGAATCTTCGTGCCTTTGTATACAACCGTGTCTAAAAATGCAGTCTCAGTGTCATGTTTCGGCCGTGAATTCAATAGTTGGGTGATGTAAGCTTGCTTGTTCAATGAAGGCTTCGATGTCTGGTTTACTCATGTACCATAGGGAAAAGATGTCGTGTATGTGGCATTTCCAAACTGTTGTTCCAAAGACAGTTTTGCTTAGAGTTGTTGTTTCAATATATGTCATGAAAACATTGGCAAAGGAATCAAAACTGCTGTCTTTGTGCCCGTTGCAGTTCCATGGTTTTGTAGGTAGTGCTTTCCACTGAAGTGGAAGAAATTTTCTTTGAGGATTAATCTAAGCATTTCCGGTAAGTAATGTGTAGGAATGGGTTGTCTTTGTTGAAATTTTCATATGCTTTGTGACAGATAATTTCAATATACCCTCAGTTTGCTGTATATTTGTGTCAAGACTCATAGTTAACGTCCATTGAAACAAGAAATGTTCGGTTTTTCACATTCGTCTTTTCAGTGAAAGGTATGATTTCTGTGATTTTAATATCGGTTGTAGCAGTGTATCAACAAATTTTGTCAAGCACAGAACAAGGTTATATTGGATTATTAAGAGGAAACCAAACATCCATGCTTTAACTAGGGGGTGGGTCATGCAATTTCCAACCTTGCTTTAGGGGTGGGTCAGTCATTTTTGTGCCGAAGGGAGGGGGTGGGTCATGTGTTTTTTATCAACCACATTTCCAAATGCTCCGACCCACCCCCCCTTATACTTTTTGACCAGTCCCTTATAAAAAAAACAGCATATAATTTTAAGTGACAAGGAAGGCTAAAGAAGCTAGGTGCTTAATATTGAATGTTACTCAAATGGCCACGGAATGAGTGAAGACCAGCCATAAACGACCTGTTCCCTGAACAAAGCAGTGATTAATAACTATATGTAAACATCCTCCCTAGTAGCATGGATTTCTATTTCTCCTGTCCCTGTTACGCTAGACAAATTGTGGTAATAAATCGGTCACAGCTGATATGACTTCAGACCTCAGTTGTGGCATGAGTTCGAGCCATTTTTTTTGGCATTTCAAAATGTTGAATCCCTCTAAACTATCAGATTATATCACACTGAGTTTCCAAGGAAACCAATTTTGTCTCATGGTTGAGTATGAATTTATCTCCGAATGTTAAACATTAAAGAGACTCAGCGATTTACTGTTCGTAATTATACCGTCTTATTATACCTTGTACCCATCTCCCAGGAAGTAAGTGTGAAAGCAAGAGCAAACCAAATGCAAACGTGAGAAAGGAAAAGAAAAGCATCTTCTCTTACCTTTATATACGAGTTTAGGAGGGTTGTAGAGATCTTCCAACGGCCTTACTGATGACTGTGTGAACCCACCGAGACATGTTTCATCCAGCACCTTCTCTGTACACGTCATGTCGATATCAGTTTCTATTAAGATGTGTCCATTCTGACTTGTTATACTCAGACCGTACTTTCCAAATGTTTGGACTGTTGAACCGTTTCTAAACTCAATGTTACCACTGAACCTAATCACGGCAGCCAGATGTTCACCATGCGAGCTTGAGGAAGATCTATTTTCATGTGATGCGGTGTAATTACAACTGGGGCAGTTGTTATTAACTATGGATGGTGCAGTTGTGTTGATCTCCAGGACTTCACCAATTCCTATTATGAGATTACCGGCTAAAAAGGAAATAACAATAATGAAAAATGTTTGGATTCAGGATGGTGGGTAGTGGTCTGAGCAAGATACAACGAAGCAAGGGTCAAGAAGGCCGTTATGGGGGAGGGGGGCGGAGTCGATCTTTTCCTGCGTTTTATCCGTCTGGCGAACACAGAGAAAACGTATTTTATACGTCCCATGCAGAACCATCGAATCTTATTAATTGAATGGGAGATCTTTGAAATGAATTCGTCTGAGTTTAACGAGCCTTGTCAAGAGATTCATCAAAATTCAAACATTGATAACTGCCACCAGGAGACGGATTTCTAGGATTGGCTAAAAAGGTTATGTCATCACGAATCGCAGACGTAAAAGGAACCAAAGAATCATCTGCTATGTTGCAGGTCATGCAGTTGCTCTTCTCTTCTATATATATTGTGCAAAATAAGCCGGCTGTTGTTAGGGAAAAATTTGTCAAAATTGTGACAGGTTTACCTGGAGTACCTGTCACAGAAGAACTGAATTTCTTTGAAATGAATATTCAAAGAATCAATTGTTTCCACCGATTTCGATATTTTACTGATATGTAATTTTCTTTTTTCGTTTTCTTTAACAAAGGGTCAAATTAGCCGTTAGAAGAACGATGTTGTCTTCTAATCCTGTCACGTTACAAACGCTAGCTGTGAACAATGTTGTCTTCCACTTAGCCCGTATACCGAACATCAGACAGTAGAAAGAGATATATTTAGTGCACAGCTTCAGGCAAACATTGACGTCTTACGTTGTTTTGACAGATCATGCATTCAGTAAAAGGATGTGTCAAATTCATAAATTTTAACATAAAAGGCCCTGGCTTGCAGTTATGCACACGCATCTGAAACAGTTGTGTGTTTGTTTAAGCCTGAAAGTATTTTAAAACTCACCCTTTAACGGGATTTGTACCCTCCCTATGTAGGTACATTGCCGTACCCAAATCATGAAATACTAACCCAACTGCGAGTAGCTAGTCATGTCGTAAAGTACCCATCGTAAAGTATAATCGTGTAAAAGGGTATCAAAAACTTGTATATTGGAACTGGCTTTCAACAAAATAAAAGATCTCTTCAATTAATAAAAGTTTTCTGTACCGTTCGTGATGAAACGAAACGAATTTCACGGAAACATTAAGGGGCTTTATAATTTGTTTAAGGACCAGACTCCTGTAAATCATTTAAGGAGATCATCTTAACGTGGGTATAAGTTAAGAAAATGAGACTGCAAGATTATTTCATTCAAAAATGATCATAAAACTTTGATACTAATAATCTCTTCCTAAAATAGAATAGGGATACGAGAAAGACTTTTCAAGTTTTGGCTTGGATTCCAATCAAATGGTCTACCACACCAAAAACATATTAACACTTACAGTTAACAGTTGCCTTTGTACCAGCTAGTAGACTCTGTAAAGAAAAGTTAAAAAAGAGCATAACCACCTTGTTGAAAACGCGTTTGCCTGACTAAATGGCAGTTGGAAATATGAAAAAGACAACACAAACCTGTATTATTAACAGAATTTCTAACTTCATATCTGCTGTTAATCCTTAACTCATTATCTTCAGCCCCGAAAAAAAATGGACCATATATATATTCGCGTAATAAGGCCAACCGGGACAGCTAAGTTAAAATATAGCAAATTTTTTATCATACGTCTTCAAGGGACTTTTCTAAACAAACATGACAATTTATAACCGACAGCCCACTTTCGATATATTAAAATTTGGCATGATAGCGAGCCTCGGAGAACACGAAACAAAAAAATTAATAAATAAATAATTATGCTTATTTATTTTCTTTGTTTGTGTCCGCAAATACTCTTCATTGAGCTGAATTTTTGTATCGAATGTGGTCTTTTTTTTAAAAAGCATTACCTATGTTTGAACTAAGACTACAAATAAACACCTCCTGGTTTGAGCGGAAATTTAAAGCAGAAAATACAGAGTTGGAATCCAGCAGCCTAACTATGTCTCCTCGTATATTAAACATTTCAACTGAGACGCATGAGCAATACCGGCTTTAAAAATTGGCAAATTATTAACTGGCCCATTTTTTAAATAACCGTTACCCTAGGTTTTCATGTAAAAAGTTCATTTTTACGTCTTACTACTTTTTCTATACGGGAAATGTAACTTAAAAAGCTCAACGGAATATAAACGAAACAATCTTCAATTATCTCCCTGGCTCCCGCTGCAAACTTCCGTGAATGATTATGTTTTCTTTATATGTCTTATGTTTAATTATTTTCTGTTTAAAACTAGCACTTGTTTCTATTCCAGCTTTTTCCTACAATAGCCAGCTCTAGTTAAAATGGCTTGTTCCTTGGTTTCTATAGATGTACAGCCTTAGACACGAAATTGACTATTGAGCAATACTTATTTAAAGAAAAGCAAGCAATGTAAACAGCGTTTTAAAAACAAAACGACGGGGAACTAAGTTCTTCCTTTAAAATAGTAAAGGATGGTGAATAAAAAATAGGTGAACACCAATTAGGGTTTGACATCTCTTCTGTTGGTGCTGTTAATATAGAGACGGTTATTAAAACAGAAGTCAGGCTTAGATCGCGGTTTCGAACCTATTAACCTTAAATATGCAGCGGGCGCAGTTGAAATTTGACTCAAAGTAAATTATTCTTTGAGCTGTGTCAAGGTATAAATTAGCTGACTGAAATGAAACTTTCAACGCTCTAAATTGTTATTGAAATACCAGGTGATTGTTTAGGTCAGCGATGCTCTTAATTAAAATTCTGCCTAAAATTTTTATTTTTGTACGTGAAAAGGTGGCCAGAGCAAGAAGAAAAAAAATGTTGAAAATTAAAACAGTAAATAGATCATATTTTCCTTTACTCCTGTGAACACTGGCATCAACTATACATTTGCATTGGGAGTTTTAAGAAAAGTCGTTTTTGAGCGACAGTAGTTAACCGGAAGTGAGGTCTCTTCTCCTTCAATACGCCTTGACGCTACCAAATTTGTATCAAGTGTCTGTACAGTTATAGAGGCCATTTTGCCGAAACTTTAGGTCAAAAACACTGCCCAGGAATGCGAAAAGTCCACTTGCGGTTAACGTGCCTGAGCTCGTGACTAGTAGTTTTACAGCGAGTAATATTATGGCAAGTAATTCCCCAGCTAGCGGATTTCCCGGCTAGCAAATTTTCGATTGATCTCGTGATAATCTTGTGATTGATAACTATTTGACTATTTTGTATCAAATTTGGACCCTGCTTACACCCCTTCCCTGCCGATAACCTATGTTGAAGCTGAATGCGTGACTAGGAAAGAATGCCCCTCTTAAACTAACATTAATTATTGCGTGACTGGGTGACATAAACATTTTTATTTGCAGGCAAATAAACTCCTTTTTTAGCCAACTCTTGACCTGTTAACTACACTTAGTAAACTACATCAGTACCAAATGAAAACGATTGTCTCTACAAAAGTAACTCCGGCTCAGCTGAGCGGTACGAGGAAGTATATGTAACAGCGAGAACGGAAGTCCAAAAAACGGCCACAGAAGGAAATATCAGAAATAGTTTTAATAGACAAATTGATTTACTTAAAGCCTCTATAAGAGTCCACAGTAAAGTGCCACGTATTTTTAATGTAGAAGAAATCTCTGGTCTCTGTAAGTTCTCTTTTGATGTGTTTTGCGCCTAGTCTTGGATGTTAAAATTCACTTTGCTTTAACTGGGAATAAATTGTTCCTCCGGCAAGAAGAATCCTGGTTGTGTTTGAAAAGCTTACGATGTTGAGACAGACTCTGACTATTCTGAGGTCCATTGAGGCCATGCTTTTAATTCTGCTTCGCTCCACATAAACAAAACAAACTCAATACTGGATTCCGTCACAATCACTGGACTTTAGCTTCCAGAAACGATTGGCAAGTAACAAGCTCTTACTTCTTAGATTTTGGGTACAAATGAAATAAAACAGATAGTTACTAAAAACAGTACGACACAGAAAGGAGGGCATAGCAACTGACCAGTCAGCTGGTCTTGCCTGCTTCTTTGCATTATTTAAGAGAATCCTGATTCAAGAAGACGCATGAAGCTGTAGATATTTTGATTTGTAGCCCGGTAGTCTCTTTGTTTTGTAATTGTTTTCAACTCTTCCTTGGCAGCAGAAATCCTTTTCTCCAGGAACTTGTTAGCCATCTTAGTAGGCTTTTGTATATAATGCTTTTGCTTCCCCACTAAAATGCTCCACCTTAATGCTCCATTTTTCCCACTAAAATGCTCGGTCTCCCCAAAAAAGTCACTAAAATGCTCGGATAATGCTCATTATACAAACGGTTTTTTAAAATCAATGTCAAAGTTTACACTTACAAAAACGTGCAAGTGTTGCAAGTAACAACGACAACGTGTACAAGTTCATAAATACAGCCAAAAATTTTGAATTTTGAGTTGTAGTCCTCATTTTCTTTAAAAACACAGGAGCTCGTGGGGCATGGGCTCCTGAAAAAAGTTAATTTCTATTTTATTTTCTCGGAAAAATTAATTTTCCGGGGAAAATGCCACTAAAATGCTCGAATAATGTTCAATGCTTTTGCCTCACTAAAATGTTCGAAAAAATGCTAGCATAATGTACAAAAGCCTACATCTTAGTTCTCTTCTGAACAGTTTTCAGTAGACACTTCCAACGCATATAAAGAATTCGTCTCCTTTTCCTCTCTTTCCTTACCATTTTTTCAACATGGTAGGATATCAACATCTTTTAAATCTTTTCCTAACCGTTTTCGGAGGACACAACGGAAAGACATTACAATGTACATGGGAGATACCAGACTAAGCACAAACTGCAATTGATGTAACTTGCGTTTGCATGTATTTCTCTCCAGGACAACTTTTCGAAGCTTCTCTCTGTCATCCTCCAGCTGTCTCTTCAACAGCCTCAGGCGTGTAACTGTAATCGCTGCTGCCGGCATAATCTCGATTTTTGTGGTTACGGCGTCTTCGCCGTATGACTGCAGCTTTCTCTGATTGCATGTCCCGAAGCAGTTTGTTTAACTCCAAGATTCTTAATTGTTTCGCCACTTGTCTCTTTTATACTATTTTAAGTTTCTGCCTCCTTTACATCAAAATCCTGGTGTTGATCCGATGTAGAATTCATATTCTTTGCTGATGCCTTTAAATTATCTTGTGCAAAATTTAAGAGGAAGTGATGGAAAGAAGGAAAATATTTACCTCTGTGGATATTAAAACATTACGAGACAAATTCAGGGTTTTAAGTCGAGTAAATGCAGAGAGAGAAGTGCCCAGTAAAGATATCTTTTCATGATATGTACCAGGCAAAGAGAGAAATTTCACATGATCTTCACGATCACAGGAAAAAAAATAATAATGACAAACGATCATATCATCACCAATGTTTATTTATTTACGGTGATACAATAATAATAATAAAAATAATAATAACAATAATAATGATAATAATTATAATAATAATAATAATACTTTAAAAGTAATTTATTCATCTATTTTGCACAACTATCAATACAGTATGTGGTCCTTGGTCCACGACTTGGTCCGCGAATGAGTTCGATGATTTATTGATTAGTCTTCTTTTATATGGTGAAGTTTCGGCTTCGCTGCTGTTGGTGAAGCTGCAAAATTAGAGTTTGTTGACAGGAAGCCGTTAATTTGTCTTTTTTGAATTTTTTACTTTTGCGGCACCATAAATTACAAGGTCATGTTTACGTGGCTTGTGAACAAATAAAATGCAACGGAAAGACGTGCCTTTTTGCAGGACACTGGTTTTCAGATAAAACTTTTTCTGCCGATGGAAACAAATTTGCTGCAGACTTTGAAGTTTTTGTTTTATTGATTCTCGAAAAAATCACCAAATTTCGCGTAGTGGTCCTTGGTCCGCGACCTATCACTGTGGCTTAATGACATTTCGCAAAAATAAATGAAACCTTTTGATTGATAAAAGGAATGTGTTAAAAATATTCCTAATACATATTTACAAGTTCTCTTTTCTTCGTATCTCGAACACATACAGAGTTTTTCTGCCGCACTGAATATATTCTCTACATTCTGATTTTTCATAGGGTGAAAAGGTGCTGTATTTTTATTTTTACCTATGCTGAGCGCTGAGTATTAATTTATAGCATAATTGTATGAAGAATAAACAAAATACATAATTACGTTTTCGTAGGGAAACTATCGCATTCTCTCGTGCTTTTCGTTCTTTTTACATGAGTCGTGGACCAAGGACCATCACGCACAGGCGCCTTTTTTCGAATCACAAACAAAATACTTAAGGACTTGTCACTTCACGATTATCGAGAGGAAAATAACAGTTATCTTCAGGGAGCATTTCAGCTCGTTACGTTTTGATTCAGGTAACATTTTCAAGATAATAATATCTTGTTGTACACCAAGGACCACATACACTATATTTAATTTTGAATTGCGCATGTATTACGCATGCAC